GGTTCCTGTTGCTCCACGGCCTTGTCAGCCTTTGGTGTCGTCCGGGTTCTGGATTTTGGTCATTCTAATAGGTGTGTACGGATATCTCATTGTTTTAATTTGCATTTTCCTGATGACATCTGATGTGGAGCATCTTTTCATATGCTTACTTGCCGTCTGTATATCTTTTTTGGTGAGGTGTCTGTTAAGCTCTTTGGTCCATTTTTAAATTGGGTTGTTTGTTTCCTTACTGTTGAGTTTGAAGAGTTCTGTGTATATTTTGGATATATTTCTTTTTATCAGATATTTGTTTTGCAAATATTTTCTCCCAGACTGTGGTTTGTCTTCTCATTCTCTTAACAGTGTCTTTGGCAGAGCAGAAGTTTTTAATTTATTTTTTTAAAGATTTTATTTTTTTCCTTTTTCTTCCCAAAGCCCCCTGGTACATAGTTGTATCTTCTTCGTTGTGGGTCCTTCTAGTTGTGGCATGTGGGACACTGCCTCAGCATGGTTTGATGAGCCTTGCCATGTCTGCGCCCAGGATTCGAACCAACGAAACACTGGGCCACCTGCAGCGGAGCGCGCGAACTTAACCACTCGGCCATGGGGCCAGCCCCAGAAGTTTTTAATTTTAAGGAAATTAAATGAAGTCCACTTATCAATTCTTTTTTTCACAATCGTGCCTTTACTGTTGTATCTAAAAAGTCACCGCCATACCCAAGGTCACCTAGAATTCCTCGTATGTTATCTTCTAGGAAGTTTCTAGAGTTGCATTTTACATTGAGGTCTGTGATCTATTTTGAGTTAATTTTTGTGAAGGGTGTCAGGTCTGTGTCTAGATTCATGTTTGCTGCATGTGGACGTCCAGTTGTTCCAGTAACATTTGTCGAAGAGACTATCTTTGCTCCGTTGTATTGCCTTTGCTCCACTGTCAAGCATCAGTTCACTATATGTGGGTCTATTTCCGGGCTCTCTTTTCCATTCCATTGATCTGTCTATTCTTTCCCCAGTGCCATGCTGTCTGGATTATTGAAGCTCATAGTAAGTCTGGAAGTTGAGGAGCATCCGTCCTCCAACTTTGTTCTTCTCCTTCAGTATTATGTTGGCTATTCTGGGTCTTATGGCCCCTCTCTATATAGACTTTAGAATTGGTTTGTTGATATCTGCAAAATAAGTTGCTGGGATTTTTATTGGGACTGCGTTGCATCTATAGGTCAAGCTGGGAAGAACTGACATCTTGATAATACTGAGTCTTCCTGTTCATGGACACAGAATATGTGTGCATTTATTTAGTTCTTTGATTTCATTCATCGTCATTTCCTCATGTGGATGTTGTACATATGTTTGTTATATCTATACCCATTTCATTTTGGGGGGAATTAATATAAGGGGTATTGTGTTTTCAGTGTCAAATTCCACTTGTTCCTTGTGGTATATGGGAAAGTGACTGACTTTTGTATATTAATCCGATATTTTACAACCTTCTATAATCACTTATTCGTTCCAGGAGGTTTTTCTGTCAATTCTTTTGGATTTTCTACATAGATGATCATGTCATCTGCGAACAGACAGTTTTATCTCTTTCTTCCCAATCTGTGTGACTTTATTTCATTTTTACGTCTGACTACATTAGCTGGGACTTCCACTCAAAGTCGAGAAGGAGTCGTGCGAGGGGGCGGCCTTGCCTTCTACCTCACCTTAGGGGGAAGCTTCAAGTTTTTTACCATTAAGTATGATGTTAGCTGTAGGTTTTTTGTAGATATTCTTTATCCAGTGGAGGGAATTCTGCTCTATTCCTAGTTTACTGGGAGTTTTTATCATGAGTATGTGTGGGATTTTGTCAAATGTTTTTTCTGCATCTGTTGCTAAGACCATGTGATTTTTTTCTTCTTCAGCCTGTTGATATGATGGCGTCCATAACTGCCTCATGAATGCTGAAGCAGCCTTATATCCCTGGGGATAAATTTCACTTGGTTGTAGTGGAATAATCCCACTTGGTCATGGCTGGCCTGTTTGCTGAAAGGGAAACTATCTTTAATCAGGCACGGCCCCCGGTTCCTTGATCTGAGGGGAGTGTGGCCAATGAGAGGGGTCCCAGCTCACCAAGGCGCCGCCCACCGTGTTCTTGGGAGGGCGTTCCTCTGAGCTCTCCGCGCCACACAGCATTCACTCTTTGAAGAGATACTGGTTTCCTGCCCAGAACAGCTGGGCCGAGCGCCTCCAGCGCAGCAGCTGCCAGGAGGGCTGCAGGGAGGTGGCAGCATGCTCCACCCGCGGTGCCTATCCTTGGAGGATGGGTCAGTGATCTCAGAGCCGTGGCATTCGGAGGCTTGCTCCCCATGGGAACCAGGAGGAATTTCATGGAGAGGAAATGGGAGGACTTTGGAAAGGAGCTGCTTATGCATCTCTGGAGTCCCTGGGGCTGCCCGTGTAATGTGCCGATGACTTCCAGCCCAGGAGGTCAGTGGCTGCTGCTTCTCACATCCTTAATTTGGAAAAGTTCTAGCTGCCCGGGACGAAGGGCAGTGGTGGAGCATATCCATGCCTAACTTTGGGGACAGCCGAGTTGGGACACCAGGGCCACTGGCACCCAGGCTGGTGAGAGTCTTGTTTCCTAACCTTTGAGCATCTCCCCAAGTGGACACTTGGGCCCTGGACACTTCTCATACAAAGGGACCATCATAGCAGCAACAATCTTGGTGGACAGCAGTGTCTGTCTTAGAGTGGGAAGTGACCACCGTTCTCCCAGAGCCCTGGGTCTTCCTGTGAGGTCCCCCTGGTCCCACGAGGGGCCCTCCATCCTCACAGGTCTGCGGCCCGGCCATCATTCCACGGAGGCTGCTGTCTATGCTGTTCCTGGCTGTTCCCCACCTCCTGTCTGTGTGGAGGTCTTACCTGCAAGGGATGGGGTGAAGTCGAGGCGTGGCCCTGCTAGCTGGCGGTGCTGCCCATGTGGCGAGAAGTCGGGGCCGCGCAGAGCTGAGACGCTCCTGTCCTGGAGGGTCAGCACTGGCTGGTCCCCAAGGTGCACGTCCTCATGTGGGTGGCTCTTGTCTCTTTCTTCTGTTTTCATTTTTTGTTCTCAAGGAGCTACGTGAAAGACACAGCTTGTCTTAGGAAGTCGGGGTTCAGCATTTCTTCCCTCTGCTCTGCCCTGGGAAGTCCCAGGTCAGCCTGGCCCTGTGTTCAGGGGTCAGGGACCAGACCCCAGGTGGCCACCACACACAAACACACACACATCACACATTACACTCACTCTCACAGAGGTTCAAGCACACATTCACAGTTGGCCCTCGCAGGCTCACCGCAGCCTTCCTCGGGACCCCCCTGGTCACAGCCCCTTCCCAGAAGAGCATCTCCCGTGTGACTCGCACTTGGCAGGTAGACCACACCAGGCTGGAGGTGGGGGTCTTGAGAGAAAAGCCCTGGGGCCTGGGCCCTCAGCCAGACTACGGCCCATCGTCCCGGCCCCACCTGGCAGCGTGGGTGTAGGGAAGCTGCTGAGGAGTGGGCCTCTCCTTGAGTTGCTGCTTCCCCGTCTCCTTGTCCAGCAGTGACCACACTCCGTGGACAGAGGATTAGGGCCTGCCCTCGGCCCCCGTCACCCCTGGCCCCACAGCTTGTTAGCCCCGAGGTCGTCAGTCCAGGCTGCTCGCGGCTCTTACATGCCCAGGAAGTGGCGTCCTCTGTGCTGTGCCCGAGGGCTCCAGCAGGTCCAGGCGCACAGTCAGGCCAGGGTGGGCATCATGGGCAGGGCCTCTGGGCCCATCTGGACAAGAAATGAGGGGAGAACCCGGGCACCATGACCGTGTCCCCAGCCTGGGCTCTCCCACTGAGGGGGCTCCAAGGTGGGATGTCTCGTGAGAATGCGTGCTCCGTGACACCAATGGCCGAGGAGGACAGACGGGGCACGTTCTGACGTGGCTCCTGAGGACAGTGAGGTGGACGCATGAGAGTCTGCGGGCCATCGGAGGCAGGACGAGCCGTGTGGGCCTGCGCCAGCGTGAGCGTCAGCCCCTTCAGGAGAGAGCCCACCGCCCGCCAGCCATTGGCCCGTCTCAAGGCCCCTCTCCAGTTCAGGGCGGTTTTGGCACCAGTGTGGACATGGTGGGAGGGGACGGGAGCCGAGCCCCCGCCCCCGGGGGCCCCACGCAGCAGCTGCTGGGCTGTCCACACCCTGCAAAACCCCCAACAAACCTGGGAGGACTTGCTGGGATTCTTGTGCTGAGGGTGGGCCCAGACACGGAACCACCGGCCTGGGTCAGGATAAGCAGCGTCCCGTAAGAAACAGCCAGTTCTCACCTGCCACCTCCCAGCAGTTTAATTGGCTTCCAGGCTGGCTCCTAACGGGCATGAAACTGCAGGAACACCTCAGGATGCCGTTTTCTTTTTCTTTTTTTCCTAATCCAGTGTTGTGGGGGTGGGGTGCGTTGACTGGCGCAATGGCACGCTTCTGCGGTGGGGTCGCAGCTGAGGTTGGGGAGACAGAGTGGGGGCTGGTGGGGGTGGGGTGGGGTCTGCATGTGTGCCGAGGTCCCAGAGCGGGCAGGGAGGTTGGAGTCCCAGCGTAGGGTGGGGTCGAGCATGGGGATGGGGTCTAAGCATGAGGGCGGGTCTGAGCGTTGGGTGGGGATGGGGTCTGAGTGTGGGAGTTGGGGCAGGGTGCACGGCCAGGGATAGAGATGGGGTCCAAGTGTAGTAGGCAGGTCCGAGCATGGGGTGGGCTCTGAGCGTTGGCTGGGGGCAGGCTCCTTGCTCTGATGGGGGCGCCGAGCCCGCCCGCTGGTTTGGGACGGTCCCTGCCGTGTCCCTCTTGGGTGGCGGGCTGGTGACAAGGAGGCTGCAGTGGCTTGTGGCCTCCTGGTGACCCCAGCCCGGCCCCTGGATGAGATAGGTGGCCGTGGGTGTCCCCAGCCGCAGAGCCCAGAGGGGGGCGGGTGCCGGGCACGTGGGCGGCTCTCCTGACTCGGTTTCCCCCGTGTGCCTGCACGCGCCTCACTGTGTCTTTCTTCTCTCGGCAGACAGCGCACGCACGGAGGTGGGGCTCCTGCAGCTGCTCGGCGACCCCCCGCCCCCGCAGGTCTCCCGGGTGGACGACCCCGACGTCGGGCCGGCCTACGTCTTCGGCCCGGATGCCAGCGGCGGCCAGGCAGCGCGGGACCTCTTCCCGAGCCGGTTCTTCCGTGACTTCTCGCTGCTGCTCCACGTGCGCCCGGACACGGCGGGCGCGGGCGTGCTCTTCGCCGTCACGGACGCGGCGCAGGCCGTGGTCTCGCTGGGCGTGAAGCTGGCGGCCGTGCGTGACGGCCACCAGGACGTGCAGCTGCTCCACGCGGAGCCGGGCGCGGCCCGCACACGCGTGGCCGCCGCCTTCCGCCTGCCCGCCTTCGCCGGCCAGTGGGCGCGCCTGGCGCTCAGCGTGGACGGTGCGGCCGCCGCGCTCTTCGTGGACTGCGAGGAGGTGCAGCGCGTGCCCCTGGCGCGGGCCGCGCGCGGCGTGGAGCTGGAGCCCGGCGCCCGCGTCTTCGTGGCTCAGGCCGGACGAGCGGACCCCGACAAGTTCCAGGTAACCGACGGCCGTGCGCGCCGGCCCCGGCAGCCCGGGGGGCCTGGGGGTGCTGGCCAGTGGGGGCGAGGGACAACAGGGCTGCCCACGTGGTGCGGCAGGCCCCGGGGAGGAGAACCCTTGACCCCCACCTCGAGGGTGGCCCCGGGGTCCTGGGTCAGCCCGCTCCCCTGCATCACTTACTCCCCCGTGTTCTGGCCTCTTCCCACCCCAATAAGGGCCTCCCCGGGCTGCAGTGACACCCCCAGCCCAACTGGCCCCCTTGGGACCTCGTTCCTCAGTGGACGCCCACCCTTGTCACTGTCCAGAGCCCCTTCTCCTGTGTGTGCACCTGTGGTCGGTGCTGTGGTGCCCCTGGGGCTCCAGGCCCTACCTTGCCCCATCGGGTGTGAGTATTGGGCTGTGTCTAGGCCCAGCTCCATGACCCTGAACGATGGAAATTTCAAGACAGCAAGAGCAGAGTGTAGCCCTGAGCCTGGGCCCTCCAGGAGTTGGCTGCACCCGTGAAGGCTGCGCACCAGCTGGGCCGGGCCCAGGGGTTCACACTGCACCGCCGTTAATCGTGCTGGTCATTATTTCTACCAAGCTGTGCAGCGGCCCCACGGCCTGTGAGCCCAGGGCAGGGCTCTGGTTCAGAGCCGTGTGGATGGCATTTCCCCAGCGGTGGTGGGCCGTGGCTCCCCAGGGACACCCCATCCTCCTGGGACTGACCCTGGCCTTCATGTTGGATTGGAGGGAGATCCCAGAGCGGGAATGGAGTCTTTCTCCCATGCCCTCAGCCCCTACACCTCTGGAATCCCGACCTCCTGGAAGCTCAGGGTGGGCACCCTCAGCTGGCTGACTCACAGCCCCCGAATTCTGCAGTTGGAGCTGGTCTGCAGCTGGCTCACCCCTGCCCAGGCTCCAGACAGGGGTCCCTGTGTGAGCTCCCGGGGGATGTGTCCGCAGGGGACAGAAGGTTAATTCTTGCCCAGACAAAGGCTGCTTGATTAAAGTTGTTCTAAGTCCTGGCGACTTGTGTTCTGAAAGCTGACCTTTCACCTTTGGCAAAAGCTTTCACCCTGGGGTCTGGGAGCCAGCAGGACTTTGATACCAAACTGGGCCTCTTTGTGTTTTCATTTTGGTGCTCGAATGTGATTAACTGGAAAGAAGTCGGAGAGTCGTCCTGACCCGGGTGGGGCTGTTTACTGGCAGCTTGTGTGAGATTTCCCAGGCGTTTCAGGATGGAAAAGTGTCCAAGTTCCAGACGTCTTCAACACTTGGACAGAGAAGCTGCCCGTGTGCTGATGGGGCAGTGGTCACCTGTCTCACGGTGCTGATGGAGGGGCGTGGTGGTCACCACCACCGTGCAGCGAAGGCCTCGCCAGGGCTGCCTGGCATCTCTGGAGAATGCGTTTGCCAGTTGGATACGTAGGCAGACAGTGTCTGGGTGTTTTAATTTGCATTTCTTGGTTGTCAGTGAAAACAAGCTTTAATTTTCTCATGTGTTTCTTGGCTGTTTGTATTTCTTCTTTTGTGACTGGCTTGTTTATGTTCTTTGCATTTTGGTTTTGATGAGTTCAACCGTTTGTCATTGATTTATATAAGCTCTTTATATATGGAAGAAACCGATCCTTTGTTGTGTACACTGCAAATTTTATTTCCCAGTTTGTCATTTGCCTTTACACCTTGTCCTTTTTTTTTTTTTAACTGCTGGGATATTTAAAGTGTTTATGTGGTGAAGTCTGGCCTGGAGAAGACACCCACAGCATGTAACATCCCAGCAGTCTTTGAAGGTTAGGAAGACAGAAACAGAAGCGTGTGTGGTTCCTGTGTGGCCCTGGGCTGTGTCCTGCTTGACCTCCAGTTGATTTCACTCATGTCACATCCAGCTGAGTCAGCTCGGTCCCGCTCCGTCTGTCCCCGAGGATGGGAAGTTTCGAGAGTTTTCCCTGTGGGTGTCTGATCAGATGAGAGGAGGGGCAGGCTTGTCTGGAAGGATGGAAGACAAAACGGGTTTAGTACCAGGTTTCTCAGACTTTCTGGGTTGAGATTCCTGGGAAAGAATCCTTGGAGTCGTGTGGTTTGTAAGATTTGGCAGAATCCAGCGCAGAGCCTGGGGAGCTGCGAGGAGCCTGGGCCCTCCCTCCCCTCGTCTCCAGAACAGGCCGCTCGTCCCCTCGCTGACGCCGCTCAGCTGCTCAGCCCGGCGCCAGTCCAGACGCATCTGCACAGAACCTGCATTGTTTTCTCCCGTCAGAAAAATGCCTAAACGTCATTAGTCTTTTCAGGTTTATTCTTGAGTCCAATTTGGTAATGATGAATGTCTCCCGGGAAATATTGATTCCATCCGGTTGTTACAACATTCTGCTAAAAGCGTGACCTGCTAAAAGCGTGACTTCCAGCTCTCTCCTGTGGTTCTGCATCTTCTTTTTTACCATTTTAAATGCTCTGCAGCACACTTTTCTTGACTTGATTTCTTCGTTGGAAGCGTCCCCATTTCTCGTTCACTGTTTGCTTTATCTTATCAGGCCCCCCCCCCCCGCCCCCCGCCTCTGGTCTCTTTAGGCTTCGGTGGCCTGTTTATTCAGAACAGCTGCCCGAGAAGGCCCTTTGACCCCTTGTCGGTATCGGGCACCACACCAGGAGCGGGACTGTGCTTGGGGACAGGAGGGGGCTGCTCTCCCGCTGCGGCCCTCCGGGGTGGGTGGTCACTTACTTTGTTCGGTGACAAACGCACTGGAGGTTGATACTTTTCACAGCACGAGGCTTGTTTGGCTCCATTACATAAACAGTGAGCGCCCCGTCCACTGAAGCCAGGATGCCCACCGGCATCGCTAGCTTTGGGCCACCAGACAGAGGAAGTGTGGGCACCCCCAGGCCCCCGAGGTCTCCCTCCCCCAGAGCCCCTAAGCCAGCCACACCATACCTGCCGCTGCTGACTGAGGGAGGACTCGGGGCCCCCGAGGTCCCTGTCACCTGTTCCTCCCGACACCCCTCTTTACGACTGTGCACCCCTCTGACGCTCTCTGAAGTCACACGCTGGCGGCCTGACCTAGACACAGGTCACAGCATCTGTGCAGCGTCCTAAGCTGACTGAGGGAGGAGACAGAGGGGACATGGTTTGTAGTGGAAGAAGGTGTGGGCGAGACCCCCTGGGAGGAAAGCTCGGAGGAGCCGACACCCTCGTGCAGCAAGGCAGGGACGGGTCTGAGTCTGATGCAAGTGAGGTGGTCAGAAGCCGCTCGGTACAGAGGTGTAAAGAAGTGGCACGGTGGCGTCCTGGCCCCGTCACAGCCCCGGCTGGGGTCGATGGTAAGGGACCAGGCCGACTTGGGCGTCAGCCGGCAGAGGCGGGGGCGGCCAGGAGCGCTGCAGCCCCTCCCCCATGCAGGCCCCTCAGCCAGGGCACGGCCCTTCCGGGGGGCCGAACGGGCGGGTCAGAGGCCACCCCAGAGTCCTGGGGGCCCAGGAGTCGGGGTCCCAGGGAGGCAGCCCCCACACCAGCGACTTTAGTGACGCAATTTCGCAGCGTCGGGTTCTGACCGTCTACACACGACGGTGGGATGTGCGGCCCTCGGGGCGGCCGTGACGGGTCATGTTTTAGACCATCTTTAGTGACAAAGCGCAGTGTCTGGATTTCGTAACGTTTGGTCTGAGTCGGCTCAGTGTTTGCAGCAGGCGCTGTGGCCTCGGGGCCCTGACGCCTTCCCCGGCCGCGTGTCCTTGGGGAGCTCCCTTGGGGGGCAGCCTGGCCTGGCCGCGCTTGTTCCTCTGCCCTCTGGTTATTCCGGCTCGGGACGCCCTGCTCCTGCTCTGCGCCTCCTGACACCTGTGCTCACACGCATGCTCACACTCGAATACATGCCACACAAGGCGCTCACACTCTCAGTGGTCACATGCCCACAGTGCTTGCTCACACACACACACATTCGCACACGCACATGCATGCTCCCACGCCCCTCCTGGACAGCGCGGCCGCCCTCCATGGTGGTTGGAGCATCCCAGAATTTGGGGGGAAGGACAGTTGTCCCTCGAATAATCCAGCTGCCGCCTGCTGCCAGATCCCCTGCTCGCTGCCCTGGGACTGGAGCCCTGGCCCCGGGAGGCCTGTGGGTTGCAGCTTCGGGAGGAGGACCCCCACCCCGAGCTCTGCCCAGGGCAGGGCGGGCCTTGACCACGGCGCCACGGGCAGTTCCTGCCTTCGATCCTCTGGAGCCTGCCGTGGTTACGAGGGGAGATCAGTGATGATGAGGTGGTCCCGCCAGTGGACACCGTTTTTCCCGCCTCCGGAGATGGACCTCGAGGCAGGAAGCGGTCATCAGTGACTTGGCACGCTCCCCCCGTGTCGGCTGCGAGGCAGCAGCAGCTTGGGTCACCCAGACGGTGCCCGCTGCCCGTGACATCTGTGCGAAAGGAGCCAGAGTCCCTCGCCTGCGTCCTTGGCCTCCTCCTCCCCTTGCGAGTTGAGGCACTGGCCTGGCTGGGAGTGGTGCTGGGGAGAATGACAACCTCACAGTAATTGTGGGGGCTGCAGGGGTCTCCCTCAGCCCTCCCCCAGCCTGAGTCCGAGAGTCCTCATCCGCCTCCCAGGAGCAGGTGTGTGCCTGAGCCTGCACGCGCACGTATGCAGGCGCACACAGGTGCAGAGAGACGCAGGTGCACACACATCTAGACACACACACACATGCACACAGAGATGGGACACCGCCCCACAGGCCTCACCTTCAGTGGGCATATGGAGTCGGGCAGAACTGGCCCCTGGAGGTGCCAGCCCTCCTGGGAGGGAATCCAGGAGTGCTACCTGGAAGCAGCGGCCTGAGCCGAGCCACGAGAGATGCACGGAGCCCTCGGGTGAGGGGGTGTTTGTTGGTTTGCTGTCACATGCTTCTTGTTGGCGGGGAGCAGGAGGATCAGGAGGTCGAGGGTCAACTGATAAAGGGAGTCCGAAGGGCACTGAGAAGAATAAACAGAGTAGCCCGGCTGGGGTCAGTACACAGCCCTCAGGACACATTCCACCCGCCCCTGTCTCAGTACAGCCCGCGAGGCAGGGGGCCCTTCACGTGCTTAAATGGTTGGAAGAATTGAAGGAAGAATAGTATTTCGTGACACGTGAAAATTACATGCAGTGAAAACGTGTGTCCACCAGGTTTGGTTGGAACAGCCACGCCAGCCCCTCCCTGCCGTCTGCGGTCGATTTCCTGGGACAGCCGGAGAGAGGTTATGACAAAGAGCGAAGGACTTATCTCTGGTCTTGATAGAGGATGTTTGCTGACCCCTGACCTGTTCTAAGTGGTTAAATGTGCATCTTAGAATTGATGAAGTGAGGTCTGTATTTAGGGAAAATGCACCGAAGTGAATCCCAGTGGATTAAAACGTTGAATAAAGCACAGAGAGAATATTAGAAAGCCTCTGTGAACACTCGTAACTTCCAGGCAGGGAAGCCTTTAAAACACAGCGTCAGGGACCCCAGGACCCGGCATCCTTGTGTGCTTGGCTCCAAGGCCTCGGCCGGGGTTTAGGACCTGCATTTGCCGTCGCCATGCGTCCCTGCCCTTTGGGGGTCACGGGGCCTCATGGCGAAGGCCCCAGTGCAGCCTCGCCACCCGTGCTGTCCTCAGCTGGTGGTGGCCCCTGCTTTCTCCCTCAGGCTTCCGACCTCCCACTGAAGCCGGTGTCCCCTGTCCTCTCCCAGGGGCGGCCTCCTAGTTCAGGACGTTACCCGGCTGGTGTCTGCTGCCCCCTGACCTCCCCATGCCCCCAGCGCCATCTGCCTGTGTCCCTCAGGGACACCACCTCCAGTGACACTCCTCGTCCTTGTCTTACTGTCCGGCCTGGGCACCCTCCAACCACTGACCTCTTCTCCACACTGAGACCTGAGGGGGCAGGGCCCGGTTCTCTGCTGCGTCCTGGCGCCTAGGGCAGGGCTGAGAACACGTGAGGGAGCGTGTGTGGAGTGAGTGAGAGGGGGAATGAGTGAGTGGATGAATGAATGAGTGAGCAAATGAGGGAGTGAATAAATGAGTGAACGAGTGAGGGAGTGGCCTCAGAATGGGCCCTGGGCTGAGTGGAGGTGCCCAACGCAGAGCACAGAGCTCGCTCCGGGTGCCGCGGGCTCTTTGCTGTCCCAGCCCTGCCTTTGTTTACTGTGGAGAGGTGGCCTTGTCCTGCCCCCGCCCCGCACCCCCCGCACCCCCACTGCGTTTCATTGGTTTAGCTGAGGAGCAGCCGGGCCCGGGCCCCAGGGACGGTGGCCTCCTCTCTCCCGGGCCCCAGGGACGGTGGCCTCCTCTCTCCCGGGCCCCAGGGGCGGTGGCCTCCTCTCTCCCGGGCCCCTGTTGGCTGCCCGCGGCGTCTTCCGTGGATAGACCCCCGTCGGTCCATGAAGCCGCCTGGACTCAGATTCAGCTCATTGCTCACCCCTTCGCCCCCTCCCCTGACCCATCTGTCCCTGGTTTCGGGGAGACCCTGGGCCCCGCCTCTGGACCGCTGGTGACCTCTCTCCCTCTGCGTTTAGGGGATGATCGCGGAGCTGAGAGTGCGCGCGGACCCCCATGTGAGCCCCGTGCACTGTCTGGAGGACGACGATGACGATGACGATGGGGTGAGTGACTGTGCAGCCTGGGCTCCCTCCCCCACCCCCGCCCTGTAGGAGGGGGACCCGAAGCTGGTGGGGCTGGCCTTTCCCTGGAACCCCAAAGCCATGGGGCTGGAAAGGTCACTTTTGAAGATGCCCTTGGGGTACCAGGAGCCTGGGATAACGTTTGTGTTCACCCTGTAACGTCAGCCTTTTCCTGCCTGGAAGTCTCCGTTTAAAAACACATTCTGCACACAAAGTGGATGTTGGGAGCCGGCCCCAGAATAGCTGGGTGGGCAATACAGTCGACAGTAGTCACCATAGCGAAAAATATGAGTGGGTGTGAGTGTGCATGGGTATGTGAGCATGTGAGTCTGTGGTGCGTGAGCGTGTGTGTGTGAACATAGCCTGTGGTGCATGAGTGTGCATGGATGTGTGAGCGTCTGAGTCTGTGGTGCATGAGCATGTGTGAGTGTGGTGCATGAGTGTGCATGGGTGTGTGGGCGTGTGAGTCTGCGGTGTGTGTGTGTGTGAGTCTTTGGTGCATGAGCGTGCATGGGTGCGTGAGCATGTGTGAGTGTGTGAGTCTGTGGTGTGTGAGCCTACATAGGTGTAAGCGTGTGAGTCTGTGGTGCATGAACCTGTGTGAGTATGTGTCTCTGGTGCATGAGCCTGCATGGGTATGTGAGCGTGTGAGTCTGTGGTGCGTGAGTGTGCATGGGTGTGTGAGTGTGAGTCTGTGGTGCGTGAGCATGTGTGAGTGTGCCTGTGGTGCATGAGTGTGTGTAGGTGTGCATGTGTGAGTCTGTGGTGCGTGAGCGTGTGTGTGAACATAGCCTGTGGTATGTGAGTGTGCATGGGTGTGTGAGCATCTGAGTCTGTGGTGCATGAGCATGTGTGAATATGTGAATGTGGTGCATGGAGTGTGCATGTGTGTGTGGGTGTGTGAGTCTGTGGTGTGTGAGTGTGCATGTATGTGAGTGTGTGAGTCTTTGGTGCATGAGCCTGCGTGGGTGTGTGAACATGTGTGGGTGTGAGTGTGTGTGGGTGTGTGTGAGTCTTTGATGCATGGGCATGTGTGGGTGTGTGAGCATGTGTGGGTGTGAGTCTGTGGTGCATGAGCCTGAGTGTGTGTCTGTGGTGCATGAGCATGTGCGTGTCTGTGGTGCATGAGCATGTGTGAGTGTGCCTGTGGTGCAGGAGCGTGTGTAGGTGTGCGTGTGTGAGTCTGTGCTGCATGAGTGTGTGCGTGGGTGCACACAGTCGCGTCAGACCTGGGGAAGAAAACCTCTAGTTCTCAGGTATGTGGAGGATGGAGGGACGGGAGGAAAGCCACGTCCCGGGGGAGACCCCAGATCACAAGCTGCACCTCCAGTGGACGCACTTGTGAACAGAGTGAGGTTGTCCCATCCCGTCCTGTTTCTGGCGGCTTGCGCTCTGCGTCCATCACAGTGCAGCCTGCACGTGGACAAATCTGTGCCGAGCATCTGTCTGCAGGCTCTCTGGCGCATCCCGGACGGTGCCCCTGGAGCAGGGTGAGAGGGCAAGAGAAAGAGAACACTTCTTCAGGTTCTCTGTACGTCTGGCTGGGCACAGTGGACTCAAAGGGCCATCCTCCTGGTCGGATGGGACAGGCCCTGTTGAGCGCCAGGCTGATCGCTGCAGGCGAGGCCCCGGACCCTGCCCTCGCCCTCCAGGACGGGCGCAGAGGAGGCAGCCCCTCAACACTGCCCGGGGCGGGGTGGGGTGCCCACTGTCCTCTGCTCCCAGGCCCGCTGGTCACCATCTCTTTCCTTGTTGTCCCCACACCTTCAGGCATCCGGAGACTTCGGCAGCGGGCTCGAGGAGCCCCGGGAGCGTCTCGGGGAGGAACCGGTGAGTGCAGCGAGGCCGGGACCCCCTGACCCGGGGCAGGCGGGTCTCGGCCCAGGGCCCGGTCCCAGTGGTGGGGCCAGGCCTCCTCTCGTCTCTGCTGTGGGGAACGTGCTTGGAAATTCTGTGTCAGATTCTAAACGCTCCGCTGGTCCCGAAGTGCCCTCGACCTTCTGTCTGCCACCCGTTAGGCTGGAGGACCGTGAGGGACTGGCGGGGTGTAAATCAGGCGAGACGGGGAAGCGTGTGGGGGGCTGGGTGAGGCAGGGTTCCCGGGTGGCCGGATGGGTATGGCCAACTCACCCCCCGAAACAACACGCAGGAGGGAGGGGCGCCTCAGGGACGTGAAAGAGACGCGGATTTTCCCCTCTGGACTAACGGCCATGGCTTGTCCCCTTGCCCAGCATCCATCTCACGTCATCTGGGCCCAGGATGGACATCGAGGGGCCGTAATGGGGCAGAGTGCCGGCCGTCCTGGGGGGACGGTGGGTGGCCCCCACCCACTCAGGGGCGTGGGGACACCGTGGCCCTGTGCTGGCCAGAGCAGGGGCAGCAGCTCTGAGGGAAGCGGCACTAGGAGCCCATCTGTGCTGTGGGGGTGTGGGCCCCCTGGATACGGCCCCACGGGGTAGAGGCCCCCTGTGGCCCTGCCTGGGTCAGCTGGCCTATGCATTCCTCCACCACTAAACCTCTTCCTCACAGATGGGGCTGGATCAGGGAACACGCCCCTTCACCCACCGAGCTCCCGTCTCTACCTAGGGTACCCTGGAGGGGTCAGCGACCAAAAATGGGGTCCCCATTCACACGTTTTCATCGTCTGCCTGTAACCCGTGGTGCTGTAACTAGACACCCATCTCTGCCAGGCTTTGCTTCAGAAAGTCCTGTGGGCAGGCCTGTCGAGGGCCGGCCGGGCTCGGGGTCCCTGGGGGCCTTGCCCGCGATGACAGAGTGGTAGGAAGGCCTGGTGTCTGGCTCCGGCCAGTCAGTGGGGGGAGCCCTGGGCCAAGCCTCGCGGATGACCGTCACCCGTGTACAGTGTCCCAGGGAGTGTGTGGAATGTGGTATGTGGGAGGCGTCTTGACTGCATATCTGATCGTCCCCTTGTGTCCACACCCTTGAGGCTCTGTGGTGCCTCTGGGAACAGGGAAGACGGGTCTCAGAGCAGAGCGGGCCCTGTGCCCCAAGGGTGGGAATCTCTGGGTGTGGAGTCGAGTCCTGACCCGCGGGGGACACGGTGCAGCCATACGCAGCCTGTGCGGAGAATCCCGGAGGCTGCCTCCCCGGCCGGCATCTGGGACTCTGTGGACCCCTCACCGCCTTTTCCCGTCCGGACACAGGAAGGAGCCAGGGCCCTGGAGCGTCCCTGAGGGGCTGTCCTGGGCCTGAGCAAGGGGAGCGGGCTCTGGCCTGTCCCTACACGTGGACAGCCTCCGGGCGCGGGAGTTTCATGACTTGCTGGGCCGCAGGGCTGGGGCCTCCAGGGCGGGGGGCCTCCAGGGCGGGGGGGCCACATCCCCACAGGCTGCTTAGAGCAGACAGCCTGGAGGGTCCTGGCTTCTTCCTGTTTGAGACGAAGCCCCTGAGGGTTTCTTGTCTTTCTTCAAGTCCATAAATATCTCATTTTACAAACCAAGTAAGTCTAAACTTGGCAGAGTGGCCGGCAGGAGCATCCACAGGACGTCCCCGTTGGCTGCCTAACGGAGCATTCTCCCCTGCTCTCACCTTGCCAGGGCACGTCCCTGACACTTGGCCTCCCCGACGCTCCCCCAGTCACCTCACCACCCTTGGCTGGAAGCAGCGACGTGGAAGATTCCAGAACTGAAGAAATTGAGGAAGAAACTACTGTGTCTTCATTAGGAGGTAAAGCTCTTTTCTGGGTGTGGTGGGTGTGTGCAGTGTGTATGAGTGTGTGAGGGGTGTGTGCCTGTGTGTATGAGTGTGTTGTGTGTGTGCATGTGTATATGAATGGTGTGTGTGGAGTGTGTGTGCATGTATGAGTGTGTGGTGTATGTGTGCGAGTGTGTATTGTGTGGCCTGTGTGTGTATATGAATGTGTGGTGTGTGTGTGTGTGTATGAGTGTGGTGTGTGTTTATAAGTATGTGGTGTGTGTGTGTGTGTGTGCATGTGTGTATATGAGTGTGTGTGTGTGGCTGGGAGGGGGCAGCACCTGCCTGGCACCCTTGCCGCGGGGCTGTGGGGTCATCAGTGGGAACGAGCAGCCGCAGGAGGAGTCAGGGCAGAGCTGCTGCCTGGACGTGGCCACCTCCTCCACGTGTCCTGTTTCTTGTGTTCTTGTTTCCGGGGATTGGTGGGACCGTCCTCAGGGCCTGCCCGAGTCAGCTGCTACCTCCCAGCCTGCGGCCAGCGGGTCCTGAGGGGGACGTGAGAGTAGGTTTTGAGAGAGGAGGTGGCGTTGCAGCAAAGACAATGTCTGCCCAGCACCTCTGTGAAATAGGGAGCATTTGGGGTCCAGGACGTCCCCTGGGGGCCCTGGAGGGCTGCTGTGCTTTTTGTCTGGATTCATTCACTCAGTGTTGTCGTCTGAGACTTGTCCATGTTGAGATTTATCACCAGCTCGCTCCTCGTTGGGGCTGAGTGGCATTTCCCCGTGTGGGTGGACAGGCTGTCCCTGGAGCCCCTGCCCGGGGGCACTTGTCGCCGATGAGGCCGCCTTGGGGTTTTGCTGCCGGCTCCGTGTGGACACCTGCTTTCCCCATGTCGGATGAGCACCTGGGGTGGAGTGTCTGGATCACAATGGGGCTGTTTCTGTTCAGGAGACTGTTTCCCAAAGCAGCTGCACACGCGTCCCCGGAGCCCGGCACCTCCATGCCCTCGCCGACACGGTGGAGTCAGTGGTGCCGTTCTCACAGATGCGCGGTGGTGTCGTCGTGGTTCTAATCTGCATTCCCTGCAGGCTGGTGATGCCGAGCATCTCTTCATGGGCTTGTTTGCCGTTCACGTGTCGTCTTTAGTAAAGAATCTGTTCAGATCTCACGCCCGTCTTTTAGTGGCCCCGTTTGTTTTCCTGGTGCTGAGTTTTGAGAGTTTTGTGTATTCTGGGTACGACCCCTTTATCAGAGGGGTGCTCTCAGTCTGTGGCTTGTCTTTGATTTTGTTAATAGTGTCTTTAGGAGAGCAGGAGTTTTCTCTTTTGATGAAATGGAATTCATCAGTTCGTTCTTTTATGGATCTTAATTTTGGTGTCGTATGCAAGAAATCTGCCTAACCCAGGGTCACAAAGGTTTTCCACTGTGTTCTGGAAGGTTTATGGTTTTAGGTTTTACATTTAGGTTTGTGATCCACTTTGAGTTCATTTTTGTATATGGCATAAAGTATGCATCGTAGCTCTTTTTGGGTTCTTGTTCATTTGTGTTTTGGTGAGGAAGATTGGCCCTGAGCTAACATCTTTACCAATCTTCCTCTATGTTGTTTGTGGGGTGTGCCTCAGCAATGCTTGATGAGTGGTGTGTAGGTCTGTGCCTGGGATCTGAACCTGCGAACCCCGGGCCACTAAAGCAGTCTGTGGAACTTAACCATTACACCACCAGGCCGGCCCCCGTTTTTTGTTTTTTTTTTTTTTTTTTTTTGATATGCATGTCCAGTTGCTCCAGCACCATTTATCAAAAACACCATCCTTTGTTGGAACTCAGCTGTCCGTGTGTGTGGGTGTCTGTTTCTGGACTCTGTCTGGATCTGTCTGACTGTCCTGATGGCAGCACCACGCTGCCTTCGTTACCGCAGCTTCATCCTAAGTCCTGAAACCTGGTCATGCGAGTCCTCCGAATTGGTCCCCCTTTCACCAAATCTCAGTGTGTTCTGCCCTGTGCGTTTCCTTGTGAATTTTAGAATCAGTTCGTCAGTCTCAGTAAGAACAGCCTGCTGGGGCTTGATGGGAATATCGCTGAATCCGTGAATCAGCTGCGGGGCTGCATGGACGTCTGAAGGGCACTGTGCCTTCTGACCCACGAGCACAGGCCCCTGGTTTAGGGCTTCTCTTCCGCCAACAGTATTCCGCAGTTCACAGGCTCACTGAGGCCGGAATTGTAAGTTTGCCCTGAATCATGCTAATACTCAACTGTGTCCTGGGAGGTTTCCAGCCACACCGTCCCTGAGGAAGGGGTGGGGCTGCCCTCCTGTGGCTGCCCTGTGAGGCGCGGTGGGTCCACAGTGGGTGGGGTCAGGCCTGGTTGGGGCCACAGGGGCGTCAGCCTGGGCCTGAGGGCACTGCTTATGAGCAGAGTGAGCTGAGCGGGGGCAGGGCCGTGGTCAAGGGTGGCGGCCGGAGCCCCTGCTGTGGCACATGGATGTGGCTCTGATTTCTTCTGGAAATGGGGACCTGCATCCCACAGGGCCGTGCGAGTTGGGAGGTTGGCGCAGCCCTGGAGAACATGAGCCACTCCACGTCTGGCCAAAGGGCCTCAGACCCCGTCCAGTCCCCAAGCTCGGCCGCTGCACTGTCAGAGCGCCTGTCAAGGCCCAGCGAGGGGGCCGAGAACCCTCCACGAGACCCTCAGCAAGCGAGGCCTCGGCGGGCCCCAGGAGTGCGGGGCTCGGCGTGGCCTGAGTCCTGAGTTTCTGATTGACTCCGCGGTGCTGGCGCTGTTGGGTGAGAAGCTTAGGTCTCAGAGTTCACCCCACGTGTCAGTCACATAGGGCGTTCCTCCTGAAGCCCGTTGTGGAGAAGTCCGTAAACGGAGGCGGGGGCAGAGATGACCTAGGCCGGGCGGGCGCTGCTGCGCTCCTGGGGCCGCGTGGGGCCATGTGACCTTCTGCTCTGGGTTGTCTTCTTGTTCTCTTGACTCCTGGGAAGCAGGGCCCCACAAAACCAGGCCGAGGGCTGATTTGGCCCACAGACAGGACTGTTGTTGGGGTCCCGGAACCCCCTCCATCACCGCCCCCAAAAAGAAGCTGCAGAGGACGCTGGGGGGCAGCAGAGAAATCTGAATCCGGGCTGCCTGTTATCACTGTGTGTAAAGACGCTGAACTGCCTAGTGACCGTCCGTCCCCGTTTCCCCCGAAAATGTCCTCATTCTCAGGAGACTTGTGACCTTCAGGGGAGGAGGGTCACGATAAGTGCAACCAGTGGACTCTCAAATGGCTCAGGGAGAGTGTGTGTATGTGTGTGTGTGTGAGTGTGTGTGAGAGAGAAAGTGTGCTCCAGGCCAGGACCGAGTGCCGCCTGGCTGGCGGGCAGCCCTGGGGACGGGGCAGCCAGCTGAGAGCAGAACCTGGGCCGCTGCTCCGGGACCTCACAGCCACCTCTTCCTCCCCCAGCTCACACCCTCCCCGGCTCAGATCCAGCCGCCGCCACGTGGGACGGCAGTGCCTGGAGCCCTGGGGGCAGCCTGCGAGAGGTGAGGCCACCGCCCCTGACCCAGGACTGCGGGCACCCAGAGCACTTGGTGCCTCTGGTCTGCTCACTGTGGCCTGAGGGAGCTCCTGGGGCTCATGCCCCTTCCTCTGAGTCCCTCCTGTGACCTGAACACGATGGGCAGCAGCAGCAGCCCCTGGCAGCCACAGCTGGAGTGGCTCCTTGGCTGGCAACACGAGGAACCCGTGATCCGACTGGCACATGGGCAGAGCCCTGTAGGTGTCAGTGCTGCTGTGCCTGGCCCTCTGTGTCCACCATGCATGTCCTCTGTGTGTCCATTCCACTGTGCATGTCCTCCGGTGTGTCCACTCCACCCTGCACGTCCTCCGTGTGTCCACTCCACCGTGCACGTCTTCCATGTGTCCATTCCACCGTGTGTCCACCCCACCGTGCACATCCACTGTGTGTCACCTCCACCCTGCACGTCTCCGTGTATCCACTCCACTGTGCACGTCCTCCGTGTGTCCACTCCACCGTGCACGTCCGTGTGTGTCCACTCCACCGTGCACGTCCACTGTGTCTACTCCACCGTGCATGTCCTCCGTGTATCCACTCCACTGTGCACGTCCACTGTGTCTACTCCACCGTGCACGTCCACTGTATGTCCACTCCACCATGCATGTCCTCTGTGTGTCCACCCCACCGTGCACGTCCACTGTGTGTCTACTCCACCCTGCATGTCCTCCGTGTGTCCACTCCACCATACGTGTCCTCCATGTGTCTACTCCACCGTGCACGTCCACTGTGTGTCCACTCCACCATGCATGTCCACTGTGTGTCCACTCCACCATGCATGTCCTCTGTGTGTCCACTCTGTGTCCCCTATGTGACACCGAGCCCAGCCCAGGGCTCAGGAGGGCGCAGCTGCGGGCGTGCAGGCGAGCGTGTGTGGTCCCCCAGCCTGCGCTGTCTTCTCTTCATCCCCAGGGAGGCCTCAAGGGGCAGAAGGGGGAGCCTGGCCTACCTGGTCCAGTTGGTCCCCAGGGTCCTGCAGGCCCGGCCATGCACAGCCCCGATGCACAGCCTATCCCTGGGCCACAGGGACCCCCCGGGCCCCCAGGGCCCCCAGGGAAGGATGGTGCCCCCGGAAGGGACGGTGAACCGGTGAGTATGTGTCTCCCCTCGGTCCAGCTGGGGGTGGGGGACTTGGGCAGGACAGGAGAGGGTGCGACTGTGGCTGATGTGGCAGAGCAGCAGGCCCTCGGGACCCTGGAGACCCCAGGAGACCCCAGGACGGCCCCCGGCTTCCTGTCTGTGGGGGAGCGGGAGGGTGTGAGGCAGGGCCAGCTCAGGGCCAGCTGGCCGCAGATGGAGGCTGCAGTGCATTGGCGGGGAGGCCTTCACCTGCACACGGAGAATGTGGGCGTGCAGATCTGCAGGGGTCCGTGTCCATGTCCAGATCAGGGTGCGGATGGGGTGTGATTCCAGTGCTAATGGTTTCTCTTGCACATTTCAGGGGGATCCCGGTGAAGATGGCAGACCTGTAAGTCTGCGTTTCTCTCTGAGCCGGGTGTTGTCTCTGGCGTCGGTGTCAGACCCTCAGGCCTCTGCCCCACACTCTACACTCAGCAAAGTGAAGGGGTTTCGTGATGGAGCCATTGTGAAAATGCAATTTCACTTTTGTTAAGAAAATATAAGTCTCAGTGTCGATGGAAAAATAGAGTTATGCATGTGCATTGGGACGTTCAGGCTGACAGCTAGGAGAAAAAAGAAATAAAGGGTATAGCTGCCAAACTCGTGGTGGAAAAAACACGTGACAGAGGAGACAAGAACCTGCCCCGAGAGGGGAGGTGGACGGGGCACGACCACAGAGAAGCAAGGTGTGGCGGTGTCAGCGGGGGTTGTCGTGGTTTCAGTAGGTGGAGAGCTGCTGTCTTAAAACACTTAGTTTGGATTTTTAAGTCAAGAAATTCTGTTTCCAAGAAACACGATACAATGACACAAGTGAGTCACAAACAAAGATTTGGGAACCACCAGACCTGACCAATGGTAACAGAGGAGGTGGGAGGGGTTGTCCATGGTCAACCCTGGACTCGGGCCCGAGGGGCTGTCACAGTGACAACAGAGTGACCATTCACTCACCTTCGTAGCTGACAGCTCTGCAGTCAGACTGAGCTCCATAGTGAGGAGGGTAGCCAGTGCTCAGTCCAGGGGGCTCCCACGGGGCGGGTTGTGTGCGTGCATGTGTGTATGCATGTTCCTGTGTGTGCCTATGTGCGTGTGTGCACATGCGTGTATGCATGTGCCCGTGTATGCCTATGTGCATGTGCGTGTGTGTGCACGTGTGTCCAGGATCCGAATGACTCCATCGACAAGCTAGCTTTGACAGCTGCACTGGAGTTTTCAAGTCTGACAAAGCCTGTGGGGTCTTCCCATGTGCACGTGGATGTTCAGACACAGTGAGGGTCCTTTAGGCCTTGAGGGCCGCCTGCCCACTTCCCCACCTGGCACACACCAGGCACATATGCACACACGTGAGGGACAGTGCACTCGCTCTGGCAAGGACATCTCTGGGGATGCCGTTGTCACCCCTGTGTGGACTCTCCCAGGTGCTGTTTCTAAGATGGGCCCCTGTGGAGAGCCCTGGGGGTCCCTGAGGCTGGAGCTGTGCACCCTTGGCCCTGACTTGGGGCCGGGGGCCTCCCGATTTCCTCCCATGACCCTTGAGGGCTTGGCTCCGTCTGCTCCGTGCTGCACACTTAGAGCACAAAGCCACGTGTTGGTGGTGGCTCGAACGGGGACAGGATAGACGTGCCTCCTCCCTGACTGAGCTACATGACCTCTGTCTTCCAGGGCGACACTGGGCCGCAGGGCTTCCCGGGGACCCCAGGAGACCTGGGCCCCAAGGGTGAGAAGGTGAGAGTCAGCCTGGCTGGGTCTGGGGCGGGCGCTAGTCTGGACCCCGACCCCCAGCGGGAGCCGTGTACCCTGGTGTGACACGTTGTCTTGTGTTCCCAGGGGGATCCTGGTGTTGGGCCAAGAGGACCCCCAGGACCCCAAGGGCCTCCAGGACCACCAGGACCCTCATTCAGACCTGACAAGCTGGTGAGTCTTGCCTGTAGGGATTGGCCCACCAGCCCGGGAGGTGGGAGGGGCCTTCCTGTCCTGTTTCGTGCTTGGCTTCCTAACGCCTCGCTCCTCAGATCCGGGGCCGGCCACGGGAGGGCGTCCAGGCCCAGGGCACCAGCTTCTGCCTTGGGGGGACAGGCGGCCGGACGGGCTGTGGGCTGCAGGTTAGGCAGGAGTCCCTGCAGTCTCTCTCAGCGGGGAGCCGCGTGCACTCTCTCCGCTTCCCGTCGTCAGCGTCTTGAACCATTGGTGGCTCGAGCGGTGCTCAGGGTGCAACCCTTCGTGGGGCGAGCGGGCTGCGGGGGGGATGTGGGCCAGCCGGGCCAGGGGTCTGGGCCCCTGGGGACGTGTCCCTGCTCTCCCCCTCAGACCTTCATTGACATGGAGGGGTCTGGCTTCGGCGGCGACCTGGAGACCCTCCGGGTGAGTATCCCTTGGCCCAGCGGCCAGTGGACGAGGCCCGGGGAGGCGGCCCTGGTAGGTGCTGTGGGCCTGACCCTCTGTGTTTGCCGTCTCCAGGGCCCACGAGGCTTCCCCGGCCCCCCCGGGCCTCCTGGCGTCCCAGGCCTGCCTGGAGAGCCAGGCCGCTTCGGTATGAACAGCTCAGACGTCCCAGGACCTGCAGGCCTCCCCGGCGTGCCTGGGCGCGAGGGGCCCCCCGGGCTCCCCGGACCCCCGGTAAGGCCTGCCCCCGCCTTGTCCCCTCTGGGATTCGGCCACGAATAGGGGGTGAACACCCAGCGTGGGGCCTCTCCCCTGTCTGAGCACAAGGCCCCCACCTTTGGACTCCCCTGTCCTGACCACCGCTCCCTGAATCCTGGCAAGGAGGGGGCTCCTGGCTCTGGCCCCAGGGTGGGGAGGAACCTGCAAGGCTGACGGCTGGGTGACCACACGTAGCGCCCCAGCCCTCTCTGGCCTTCAGTGGGTTGGCTGACCTCCCACAGGCTGACTCTGGGAACGATTCTGACAGGGTCGGGGGTGGGTCCCGCTGCCCGGAGGCCCCTGGGGCCTTGAGGAGCCCACATTTAGCCGACTCACTGTCACGGCCCTGCCTCAGAGCCCTGGCGGCCCCCTGCACCCAGCACTGGGGTCACAGTGGCCTGGCGGGTGCCCACAGGTGTGGCCGCTGTAATCGGGCCACGTGAACCAGGTGCGTGTGGCCTGGTTTTCACTGGGTGACATGCCGCGGACGTACCATCCAGTGAGAGTGTGGGGTCGTCCCACTGACGGCCTGCCCCCCAGTGTGGCAAGTCCCCACGGCAGCGAGTGAGGCGGCCCCCCTCAGCACGGGGTCTGGCGGCCCTTCTCATCCTCCCCAGTTTGATCAGCAACTCAAAAACGTCTTAAAAAAGGAAAGGGAAGAAATTAAACACCTGAGCAGAGCCGTCTGAGCTCTCGACCGCGTTCCCGTGAGCGGGTCTCCTGTGAGCCGGGACTCTGGGCCGTGTCTGGGGAACGTTCCGGTGTCCTCGGGTCTCTGGAAATGAGTGGACACCCAGGTGGTCGTCTGCTAACCCAGGATCCTTCTCAGCCCCTGAATCCCACATGGCCCCACACTCTGCCCTTCTCCCCACAGGGACCCCCAGGGCCTCCAGGAAGAGACGGGCGGCCAGGAGGGACCGGCCAGAAAGGCAGCCTCGTAAGTCACTTCCCCAGCGCCAGGGGTGGAGGTGACCAGGTGCCACGTGGTGTGGCCAGAGAGTGACCCAGCCCCAGATATTTGCGGACATGGTCCTGGTGACTTCGTGGAGGAGGAATGCCACAAGTGTGGTGATGCCTGAGGCTGTGGTGGCTTTGCTCCACACCCGGCCGTCACCGGCTGCTGCAGTCACGGTCCCACGGCCGGGGCCTCGGTCTCCTGAAGTCGCTGGGAACGCAGCCGGCTAGGGCGCGTGAAGGAGCCAGGACCTCGTCCCTGCTGCTTCACGATGGTTGGACTAGCGGGTTTTTTGGAGAATGATTCTTCTCCTGATTTAGAAATGTTTTTCGAGTTTCAATTTCTCTTACATTGATAATGGAGAAAGTTTCGAGGCTGCACAGGCTCTGACAGCCCTGTGGTCTCCACGAGGTTTCTCAGTGAATGGCTGGGAGGTGCTCTGCAACCGTTGGGAGACGATGCCCCCCTGAAACTTTCCGGGAGCCCCTGGCTGTCTGGGCTGAGCGGAGGGGGTATTTAAGGGACCTCTCCTGTGCCCAGAGCTCGTCTCTGCTGCCAACTGAGCTCAAAGACTCCCTGAGGGAAGCGTTGGCGCCTGGCAGCTGGTCAGTCCTGACCCCTCACCCCAGGCCTCCCCAGGCCTTCGTCTCCCCCTGAAACGGGTGATGGCGGGGACCACAGAGTTGCCCTGGGGCCAAGAGGAGACACTCTGAGTTGAGACTTGTGTCTTCCAGGAGTGGCGCGTCAGGCATCCGGGCTCCTAGACCCGGAGGGAGGAAAATCCGAGACGATTCAGTCAGCATAAACCAGACCTCCCGGGGTGGGGTAGAATGAGTGGAGCGCTGCTTGCTGTTCTCTCGCTGGCTGCATGTTGGTCTGACTTGTGCTAATTATTCTGTCTCTCCCGCAGGGTGAAGCCGGCCCCCCAGGACCTAAGGTACAGACAGGTTGCCTGGGTCTGTGCTCTTCCAGATGGGATCCACCGCTGGGTGGAAGCGCCCTTGGGAGGGGGCCGGGCAGGGTGGGCGCTGGCGGCCGAGGGAGCCAGCTCTCCTGGGCCTGATGGTGGGGTCAGGCCTGCAGCCCCGGCTCCGTCCGCCCCACCAGCGCTGGCGGCGGGCATCCCGTTTGTCCTGCATGGTCCCTTCCACTCGAGTCCTGGTCTGTGGATGAAATGAGACCAGATGTGCTTAGAAGCTGACGACCCCTTTGGAAACAAGCTCCCAGTGAAAACTTACACTATAAAGCGGCTCCCCAGGGGCTTTAGGAGGAGGGAGAAGGATGCCAGACATTGGGGTGCTGCCGGGGGCCCCAGAGGGGGTCCTTCATGCTGTCACACAAGAGTTGGTCCTAGGAGGCCATCCCAGGGCTGGGCCTCACTGCTGGGTCTGTGCCAGCCCCCCCACAGCCAGCCCCGGGGTCCCTTTGGAGAATCCAGCTCCCCAGGGCCACACCTGCTGAGCACTAACCAGAAGCTTCCCCAGCAAGTGACAGGGGCGTCACTGACAGAAGCTGGTGGCGCAGCTCCAGGCTCGGGGTCCACTAGGAAAACGCCGTGGGGAGAAAGGGAGGGAGAGGCGACGATGGATGAGACGGTCAGGAGGGGCCTCGAGGAAGAGACGAGGTGCAGAGTAGAAACGTGTGTGTGTAAACATATGCACACACTCGTGTAGGTACAGGCTTCGGGGATCAGCCAGGAATCCTACTTGATGAGGTTTAAAACGAGGGAGAGGAGACAGCGGGAACAAAATCAGGCATTAGAGACGAGACCAGGTTCCGGCCCGTGGAAGCGAGTGATCGCGTTTATGGTCCAGATCCCAAACGCCAGCATTAGATCTTGAGATACGAAGATGAGTCAGGCTTAGAAGAAGCTTGAGTAACTTCAGTAAGAATTCCAGACCCCTCCAACCCAGTTAAAAACTGAGTAGCAAATTGAAGAAAAAAAAAGAGACTAGAGAGAGGTTTCAGAGAACCAACTGTCTTGTAGGAACCTTAACTTGTTAAAGATCAGAAATTAGGTGAGATGTTAAACACGATAACAGGATGGAAGGCTGGGATCTCGACCAAGATTCTGGTCAAACTCGCCCTCGGGCGAAGCGGATGTTAGATGTCTGTTAGATAAAAACAGGTGGAAGTGGAGCCAAGAGGTAACAGAGACGCTCCCTCGGGGAGGTGGCAATGGAAGATGGGGCGCCTGCAGAGGACGGGTGTGGGGGCAGCGAAGGGACTCCCACTGGAGGGGCCGAGGAGGGCATGGCACTGGCTGTGGGGTCCAAGTGGAGAGAGGTTCCAGGAGGCCCCGGGAGGAGAGACTGTGGTGGGCGCTGCCCGGGCCGTGGGATGGTGGCACTCCGTCCAGATGGACTTGCTGTTGGAACAGTGCAGCGGGTCCCGTTCCTGCCCTCCCTACCGGCCAGTGGCCTCAGCACCCCCCACAGCCTGGCAGAAAACCGGTCCTTTACAGACCAGGAGCCTGAGGCTCAGGGAGGTTAGGTGGCCTCGAAGGGGTGGGGCTGGGCCGATGGGTAGGTGGACCCTGGCCTCAGGGCTGTCCCTGCGTGGAGCTGAGCCCTCTGCAGAGGGCCTGCCTGCCGCACGTCCCTGTGTCCCCTCCTCCCACACACTGGGCTGGGCCCTGGGGACCCTCGAACTCTGAGCGGCCAGGCTGTCTGGGCTGCGTGTCACAGACGCTCGTGGGACTAGAGCCCCATGTCGCACGCCTCCCGGCCCTCCCGCTCCTCCCTGAGGCCTTGGTGCCCACTCTGACCCCACCCTCTGGTGGTAACAGGGTCCTGGCAGCCCCCGACTCATTCTCGGCCCTCCTGTCTCCTCCCCTCTTGCTCTCCATCCCTTCGTCGGGAAGCCTGGGCCCCGTGTGCTCTCCGTGCACAGTGTGCCCCAAACCACCAGCACTGAGCTCCCCTGGAACGTGTGTCAGGCGCCTGCATCTGTGGTTCTCGCTCAGTTGTTTTCTTTTAAGTGGATGAAATCGTTTCTTAAAGTCGGATGGAAAGCGGGTGCTGTGGGGTTTGCGTGCCTCCTGGAATGTAGGGTCTTTGGCTTTTCAGATCTGTAAGAAGCATCGTAGGGAAATGTGGGCGCACTGGGGTTTAGCCAACACCCTGGTGGCCGAGAGTGGTGACATCCCCTCTCCCCGCTGTGCAGGGAAACAAGGGAGACCCCGGCCCCATTGGCGCTCCTGGCGAGAACGGCTTGGCAGGACCCCCCGGACCAGCTGGGCCGCCGGGGCCTCCAGGGCCCCCCGGGCTCCCGGGGCCCCCGGGACCAGGACTCGCCGCAGGGTTTGTGAGTACCGACTGCTCCTGGCCCCCAGAAAGCCCACAGCTCCCTCGGGGCACCACACCCTGATTGGCACTTCCGAGCAGCAGCCAGACCGGCGTCCTCCCTCCACCTGGGCTTGTCCCTGGCCCCGTGGTGGAGTCTCTGGTCTCAGCCCTGAGGGGCTGTGCTGGCCCAGCAGGACAGGCTGGTTGGCTGCAGAGCGCACTGACCGCAGGGTATTTACGGCCGGCCGTGTCTCCTGACCGCGTCTCTTCCTGGACAGTGCCCCCTGGTGGAGCCAAGGGCACTGGGAGGGAGCAGCAGGCCCACATCTGCAAATGGTCACTGCTCAGGGATCATGTCCCGTGCGTGATGCTCAAAGGGGACAAACGGAAACTAAACAGCATTGTGTGGCCAGGCCCCCAGTGCAGCTCAGACCAGGTGTAAGGAACCTGAACCCAAGAGAGGCCAAGTGGGGGCCACCCCACCCCACAGGGCCCTGCAGGCAGCAGACCGTTCTTACTGAGGACGAAGCATGGTCGCTTCCAGGCGACCCCAGCCCTTGGAGTCCGCCCCGCTCAGTGTGGCCGGGTGTCCACCTCGGGCCAGTGGCCAGCCTCAGGGAGCGATCTCTTCCTTCAAGAAGAGACGCAGATCTGAGTGTCCCTCGTGGGTTCTCCTCCAGGATGACATGGAAGGCTCCGGGGGACCCTTCTGGTCGACAGCGCGAGGTGCTGACGGGCCACAGGTACTGCCCGCGAGCTGGGCCTGGTCAGGGGGGCGTCCCCGGGGCTGGCCCGAGTGGACCGGGCGCAGCCCTGCAGAGCCGGCAAGGCCGCCTGAGTCCAGGGCCCTGTCCATCCTGGGGGCCCCAGAGAATAGAATCGAGTCTTCAAAATGGCGCAGTGCCTCTGGTGGTCGAGATAAATGACGTGGGGCAGGATGGGCCCTGAAAGATGAGTCTTTTAGGGGAATATCAGTCGTTGAGTTCTCTCATAGCTCTAATTTTAGGAGGTAACAGACTTTTGCCGAGTAGAGTTCTGGCTAAATGACATGGGGCGTTCCTATGAGTCCCACCTGGCGTGCTGTGGACGTGTGCCCTGGTTGGGATGGGGGTCAGCTGAAGCCACTGGCGTCACGAAGTAACTGCGGCTTAGACGAGACAGACGTGAGGGGCACGTCCCTGGGCCAGGCAGCTGCCCCGCGTGGCCGTGGAGCCAGCGCTTCCTCCTTCAGGAGCCCCTGGGCCGTCACAGCCCCTGCCCGGGACACTTGGGGAAGACCTTCAACCAGTGTCCAGCTTGACCCCTGGGAGTCAGCCCGGCAGGAGTGCGCAGTGGGACAGATTCCTATTCTCAGCACCGTTAACGAGAATTTTCACTGGGCAGAAACCAACTCTGTAGTAAGCGAGGATGGGTCCCCCGTTTTAAGTTAGTGCCCTCCTTTCGTATATTTAAAGATCTTGGTTTGTGGCAGTGGCACTTGGCGTCAGGTGACATGTGAGCCAGAAGTGACAGAATTGTTGTCACCGTGATGTGAAGGAGGGGAGGACCCTGTGGGCGACAGCAGCGAGGTCAGGGGGCACGGGTCCTCTTTTTAGGGTTCTAGGCCCAAGTACACAGCTGCAGTGCCCCTTGACCTCTGGAGGGGTCGGCAGGCTGTTTCACGACCTTAGAGGTGATGGAGACTTCGGGGGTCACAGTGTGGCTAGACCAGCCAGGGCCCTGGGCAGCATCCTGTCTGCTCAGGTGCATGCATTTTCAGTTGAATAAAGTGCAGGTTTATTGGTGTTGTGCTGAAGGCGCCAGCTGGGGTGACTCCCGCTCAGGTGGTTCGAATGACGTCTCTGGGGCTCTAGGTGGTGCGAAGACAGGCCATCCTCTCGTGGGATTTCAGGGCTGTGCTGGCTCCTGTTGACAAACTCGAGGCTCTTCCCTTTTCAGTCAGAGCTTTGAGCATGGGGGAGGCTTGTTTTCTTTGGGGAGAGAGGTCCCCCGCGGGGCCAGCGCTGCACTAATGGGGCTTCTCCTTCTCTGCCCGCACAGGGACCGCCCGGCCTGCCTGGAGTCAAGGTCAGTGAGAGGGCCATCAGCCCAGGCTGCACCCTCCCTCCTAGCTGGGACTGACCGCTTCAGGGCCCGAGTTCCTCGAGGGGAGTTTGCAAAATGCAGGGAAGCCTAACGGGGAGCGGGCACCACTGCCCGGAGCCTGCGGGTCTTGGAGTGGCGCCCACCCGTCTTCTGAGGCTCCGGGAATCGTGACCCCTGGCTTCACGTGTCTGAAGTGTTTGCTGACTTGGGGGTACAAGGGCTTAGGGGGGACCCCCTACCCTCGGGGGCAGCCTCCCGCATCTTCCTGCCGCCTGGCTTTGCTCCCTGCCCCTGGAGGACACCAGCCCCCTGACCCCTGGTGGCAAGGGCGGGTGGGACCACCTCGGGTTCAAGGTGCGCAGGGTCCACGTAGGATCAGCTGCTGCCGTTGCACCTGCTTCTTTTGGAGTTTTGCTCTGATTTGCAAAAACTTTGAGACATTTCAAAAGGTTGAGTTTTTAGAAGGACCAACTTAGTAGATTTCTTAAGTTGTTAAAAATGAAGTCATCTCTGTGGAACAGCTTCTTGGAGTGAAATGATGGAAGGTGTGGGGCAATTTCCAGAAAAGTCCAGGCTGCGTACCGTTAGGATGAGACTGGCTCTCTGAGCGGGGGGACCCTTTCCTTCCCTCCTCCCAGAGGAGGGGTGGCCTTGTGGTGGGCTGGCCTGCACACTGCACTCACAGAGCCTCTTATCCACTTTAGGGGGATCCTGGACCAGCTGGGCCACCGGGCACTAAGGTAAGGACCTTTCCTTAGGGTCAGGAAATGGGTGGTCTTGACCAGCCTTGGTCTGAGGGGCAGGGGGTCCCCAGGCTGAGGCCAGAACCCTTGACTGGGCTGTGGCTCCCTCGGCCCCATCAGGACTGGGCTCATCCCTGAGGCCCAGCATGGCCTTGAGCTCGGAGGCCTGCCCGGGACCAAGCTCCGTTCCAGGCCAGCCCCCCTCCTCTGGTCCTTCCTGTGTCGTGTCGGCCCTGACTTTATTCCTCAGAATTTGACATGCTTGTTCCAAAGGGGACCCCCCAGAGCACCTCCCAGGACACCCACCTCCTCTGGGCACCCCCCAGGGCACCTGCCACCCCTAGCTCCCCTCCTGCAAGACACTCTCTCCCCTCAGCCATCCCCCTTCCCACAGGGCACCCACCCCCCAGTCCTCCTCCTGGCTCCATCGAGTAACTTGCAGGAGCCGCATAATTTGTCTGACTGCCCCCTGCCCCCGGCCCCTCCTCCCCTCCACAGCCCCCTAGGCACACACTTGTAATCAGGTTGAATTGCCCTCAGGGGTGTGAGCTAGTCACCGACGGAAACCCCAGCCTGGTCACCTCCCCGGGTGCTGTGGCTCGTGGCCGTGGGCTGACATGTGGTCCCCTCCTTGTGTCCGTTGCAGGGAGAAGTCGGAGCAGATGGAGGTCCCGGGTTCCCCGGCCTCCCCGGCAGAGAGGGCGCGGCTGGAGCCCAGGTGAGTGACCGCCCTGGGCCCGGGGCTGTTTGGGGTGGCACCCCCAAAGGAGCTGTGCCTGGGTGAGGGCTGGCACCTCAGTGTGGTCTCCGGGGGTCTCTGGCCCAGTTCTCTGTACCCCAAGGGGCCCGGAGACCCCGGCTCTGTGGGACGTGAGTGGAGGTCCCAGCTGTCTGAGGGGGTTTCCTACAGTTGCCCGGCTCCCCCCCCCAGCCCCCTGCCCCCCTCGGGCCCCATTTGGTTGGAGGAGGAGGAGGAGCTCTCCACGTCCTCGTCCAGAGCCGGTCTCTGTGGTGCCAGGTCTTAGGGGAGGAAGCTGGTGTTCTCTTTGTCATGACCATTTCCCTCCTGTCTCCACAGGGGCCAAAAGGAGAAAAAGGGACCCAGGGAGAGAAAGTGAGTGGGGGGATGGGCTGGGGCCACAGGCTGGGAGGCGGGCTGCCCTCCACCCCACGCCACCCACAAGGCCTTGGAGACTTGGGGCGGAGACCCTCAGGTCTGGGGCGGTCTCAGGGCTGGTGTGCAGGGCCCCCGGCTCGGAGCCTGCCCTGCCTGGGGCAGAAGCTCTCAGGGCCGCGGTCCTCAGCCCTGAGCATCTGCTCACTCCTGGGCTCCGGGATCCCCTTCCGAGTCCTGCGTGGGCTTGGGGGTCCCTGCCAGAGCCGCCATCACAGTGCACCCCCTGGAATCAATCCAAGTGCTGGACACTGGCTTCTCTTCCAGGGCGACCCAGGGAAGGACGGAGTGGGGCAGCCAGGCCTCCCTGGACCCCCTGGACCCCCAGGGCCTGTCGTCTACGTGTCGGAGCAGGACGTAAGGACACTGCATGGGTGGGCACGCACTCTGCCTGGACCCCCAGCACTGGTTCCGGCTGGTGCAGGCCCAGTCCTGATGGCCTTGGGCCACACTCTGACTCCAGTGGGACTGGGAGCCCACGGGTCAGGGCCGCGAGCCTTCCCCGTGTAGTGTGACTCCCACAGACACTGGGGTTTCTAGTCTGCTGGTTCATTCAGAACTAGAGACCGTGTCTCCTTCTGCTGAGACTTTTTCATTATTTAAAAGAGAAAAAGGATGCATGCTTGGGTGTCTAGAGAGAATCGGAAATTCTGTAGCAGAAACTGTGAGCAGAGAAGCCTCCCTCTCTGCTGAGTCTTATAGGCATCTCGGTCATCGAGCCGGGCTTTCCAGGTGCCCTCTCCCCTCTGGCCCTTTGCACACAGCACAGGGAGGTGGGGGACTGGTCCCCGGTCCCAGGGTCACCGGAAGCTTCTACGGTGCAGGAGCAGCTTCTCTTCTATCTGAGGAGCTTGAGGCAGGAGCCGGAAAGACAGTTGAAAGAAAAGTTTCCTTCACGTCTAGTTCCTGGTGTCGTGTTGCTGATCTTGTGATGGTGGCACACAAGTGGGGTTTTAATTGCAAATGTGGTTTTCCTTTCTTTTTCATGATTTTGTGTTTTTGCCGACTTACACATAGAGAGCAGTGGCCAGCGTGCCAGGACCCGAGGTAGGTGCCATCCTGTCGGGGAGCCGCGCGTGCCCGTTGCGTCCGCCTGAGCTGACGCTGTCCTCTCTCCCGCAGGGCCGCCCCGGGCTCGCTGGCTTTCCCGTAAGTCACCTTGTGGCCTCGCCCCTGCCCTGACCGGGAGCCCCAGGCAAGCCCGGCACTGGTGGCACCCGAGAGGCTGAGAGGCTCCTGGCACTGGAGCAGAAGCCCCCGGGGTCCGGGGTGGGGGTGGGGGTGGGGGTGGGGCAGGCCCTCCTCGGGCCATAACTGGTCAGGACCTCAGGGCGGGCGCTGTCCAGGCAGCCGTGCTGGGAGTGGGCATGCTCAGCCATCGCAGAGGTGGGGTCACTGCTATGGCCCCTCATTCCTGCCTGTCTCCCCGCAGGGACCAGCCGGGCCGAAGGGAGACCTGGGCTCCAAAGGCCAGCAGGGCCTCCCAGGACCCAAGGTGAGGGGTTCAGGCACCGTCTACAGGAACAGCCCCCTCTGTGACACTGAGGGGCAGTCCTGGTTCACCCAGGTGACCCCTCCGGGCTGGGGGGGACCTGGGTGCCCCCACGGCTGACCTGCAGATGTCCCATGTGGGGAGCTGTGACCTGGAGCGTGTGATGGATTCCAACGTGGGCTCTCCTTGTGGTCACTTCTCTGGAGGCTCTGGGCTGAGACCCCCGATCACAGAGCCCCTGAGAGGGGGCCCCCTCACCCCATGCCGGGGGCTCCCATTGGAGCCCTGAGGTGGGGCCTCGCCATGGTGGGTGCAAGGCCCCACTCCTCCTACTCTTCCAGGGCGAGAAGGGTGAGCCGGGTGCAGTCTTTGGCCCCGATGGCGGAGTGCTGACCGCCTCCCAGAAAGGAGCCAAGGTGAGGCGGTCCCTTGGGCCTTGTTTCTCGTCCCTCCTGTGGGCAGGGGGCCATGGGGGCAGCACAGAGCGTTTGTCTTCCTGAGAGGGGGTGGCTCCTGACCCCATGTAAGAGACTGTCTTTAGCAGGGTTCTGGAACCTTCCCTGTCTGTTCCCCTCTCGCAGCCGCACTGGGAGGGTCCTCAAGGTCCCCTGGAGCCCACATGGCCCCTGGTCGGCCTCTGCCACTGAGGGCACTCGGGGACCATGGCTGTGGGCTCCCAGGCTTTGCCCAGTGGGAGCAGCCTGGCCCTGTGCTGTCCAGGTGTCTCTGGCCTCTTCTGGGGGCACCACTGCTGGGGTTGGGGTCTTGACCTCCCTCCTCAGGAGGGAGCCGAGTGTGGCTGAGGTCAGCTGTGGGCCTCTTGAGGGTCTCCCCTCCCGGCAAGTGGCCCCCCCAGACAGCCCCTGGGGAGTGTCCTGGGGAGGAGCTGGGCCTGGGTCGGGTGGCCGTTGGGGGCAGGCCTGCAGGGGGTCCCCAGCTTCCCAGGATTGTTTGGGGATGGGCCGTGAGTCCCTGGATCCCCAGGCCCAGAGAGCTCTCTGCTTGTACTGCCCGGCGTCACATGTGAGGTGGGGCCCTGTAGTGACCCCGGCCAGGGTACTGCACGGGCAGGGCCCCCAAGCTTCCGGGCCCCCAGGGTGCACCCTGTCCATGCACCCCTGGGACACAGGTCCCAATCCTAGCCTTCTCTCCCCTGGTGTTGTCAGAGCCTCAGGCGTTCCCTGGGGCCTCCAGATGGGCAGTGAGACCCGTCTAAGGGTTGCCCAGTGGGGGTGACCTGATGTGCCTTCTGGTTTTCTGTTCAGGGTGAGCCCGGCTTCCGAGGACCCCCGGTGAGTATGCCCCCACTTTCCCACAGGGAACACACGTGTACTGCCGTCTGAAAGGTCACACAAGGCTACCCGAGGCACCTGTCAGCGCCTGGTGCTGAGCGGGCACGGGCGGCCCGAGTTGACCTCCCAGCTGCACCTTTAAAGCGCAGGCAGGTGCTGGGCCGGGGCCCACAGTGGGACCAGGCTCTGCTCACCGAGATGGGGCTCCTCCCCTCTGCAGGGGCCATACGGACGGCCTGGGCACAAGGGAGAGATTGGCTTCCCCGGACGGCCGGTAAGGACAGGGGTCTTGTGCGGTGTGTGTGGGCAGCGGGCTCAGAGCCACGGGGCCCAGTAGGGATGGATGGCCACTCCTCCACTGTCCTCCCAGGGGCCAGCCCTGCCTGAGCACAGAGCTCTCCAGGACGTGGGCAAGGGATTCCTGGGCCCTGCTCACAGGCCCCTCGACCCCAAGGGGCAGACACCCCAAGGAGGCCCTGGGTTGGGGCAGGAGCTGCAGGGCCAGACCCCCAGGGCCCAAGGGCTGGGGCGTGTGAGGCTGGGGTTGGGGACTGAGGCACCAGCCGAGGCCGAAGTGCTGGCCAACTGTCCCCACCACTGTGCTCTGTGCCAGGGTCGCCCCGGGATGAACGGCTTGAAAGGGGAGAAAGGGGAGCCAGGAGACGCCAGCGTCAGGTTTGGTATGAAGGTGAGTGTCTTTCGAGGGGCCCCGGAATGTCCTCAGGGCCCTGGAATGGCACAGCTGGAATGTCCTCAGGGCCTGCACTTCATCTGTGGGAGCTGCTTCTGAGTGGCACTGGGGTGTGACCACTTCGTGCTGGTCCTCTGACACACAGCACCCCCCCACACACACAGGTGCACAGTGCACACACGCACATGTGCAAACGCACACACGTGCACACACACACACATACAACCCAGGCCCCGGACGGAAGCCCAGCATGCTGTTCTCGGAAGGGCGTCCAGGCCGGCGTGGGTTTGGGCCGGCCCCCTCCCTGCCTCGGGGGTCCTTGTCTTTCGACACCACTTTATAACTTTCGGTAACTACCGTCTTTGGAGCCATGGGTTGTGTTTCAGTCACGTCAGCAGGGTGGGGCATTTTTAATCGTCTGCCTGAGACAGCTGCCGTCCAGACAGCACTTGCCCCTGACTCAGCCGACCAGGCGCCCAGTGACCTGCACGCCATGGGTGTCCTCCTGGATGTGTGAGTCGGATGTGGGTCAGGGCCCCGGCCCCCGCCCGGCCCTCCCTGACCGATCCCTCCTGCTCCGCGAGCCCAGCCTTTGGGGACACGTGGTCCTGAGGCCATCTCCTCTTCTGGTTTGTTCCTCGCTGCTGGTTCCTCCTCGAGGCTTTGTTGCTTCTTCTGGACTGAGACTGGCTCTCAGCATGTGAAAGATCAAGAGCCAGGGGCAGCATCTGGCCGAGTCCTGAAGGGGCGCTGGAACAGCAGGTCACGCTCGTCAGAAGGAAGACGGGCTCCGGAGGTTCAAGGCGGGTGTGAGGTGGCTGCGTGCACACGCCCCTCGTTGCTGCCTCTAAGGGGCCTGGGCTCCGTGCCCTCCTGCCCCTCTGTGGACCCGAGCTCCCAGCTCCGGTCCTACCTCCAGCCTCTCCCTCCTCGGCCACAGTGAGACAGTGGCCTGGGGAGTGACCACAGGGTGGCGGGTGGGTGGCGAAGGTGCCCAGTCCCGCAGAGTGATGCATGGCAGGAGAGAAGCACAGCTTGCCGTCCTGCCTTGTCCCGACGGTGCCTTCGAACCCCAGCCCCCGCCTGTGCTCAGTGGGCTCTCACTTTCAGCCTGAGTACTTCTGATGCCACCTGCTCTCTTTCCGAGAGTCAGTAGATACACGCAGGTTCATTCACGCACGCAGCCTAAAGCTGGCCGCGGCCTCCTGGGGCGCCCTTTCACCTGGAAATACACAGCTGAACTTGGAAGGGTCTCCAGTTCACGGCCATGCGGGTGGCGTGTCCACCTTCACATACAGTCCAGACGCCCTTGCTCATCTCCCAGGAACATTCTGAGCATGACTATCCTGGAAGCAGGAGGGGACAGCTCTGTCCTCAGGGACCCGGGACCACAGAGCCAACTGGGCACTTCCTCGGTTATGCTGTCAGACGCATTCAGTTTTCTGGTTTTATTGTGATTTTTAGAGATGCTCCTCCCAAGTCTGCCACCCTGGCTGGTGTCGATGGCCCAGCTGTGAACATGACTGACCAGAACTTTCTGTCCTCCCCATGCAGGGTCTGCCTGGCCCCCCGGGGCCCCCAGGGCCCCCAGGCCTTCCTGGGACTCCTGTCTACGACACGAACGTGAGTCACCCATCACTCGCTGTACCATCGCCTCCCTACCCTCCTCCCTACACTGCTCCTCGGAGGAGCTGCCGCCTTCCCATCCCCACCACTGAGCCCCACGTAGCGGCTGACCCCCAGGTGGAGGCTGACCTCCAGGGAGGGGCTGACCCCTAGGCAGAGGCTGACCCCTAGGGAAGAGTTAATCCCCAGGGAAGGGCTGACCCCCCAGGGAGGGGCTGACCCCTAGGTGGAGGCTGACCCTGAGGGAAGGGCTGACCCCAGGGAGGGGCTGACCCTCATGGAGGAGCTGATCCCCAGGGAGAGGCAGCCTGAACCATGGCCTCTATGTCCCTGGGGTGGGTGTTTCTGGGAAGGGTGGGTGTTTCTGGGAGGGATTGGTGGGGGACCTGGCCTGCCTGTCTGTGGGCTGCACCTGGTGGGCAGTTGATTAGAAGACACGCTGTCTGGCTGTAAGGCTGGGGGAAGTAAGGCTGGGGGAAGGGAGGGCTCTATGATCTGAGAGTCTGAGCCCAGAGCTCCCAGCCCTGTGGTCCTGGGGGGCAGACACCCCCATTTCACGATGCTCAGGGACATGGCATGACTCACAAGGGGCCGGTCTCATCAGGACAACGGCTCCATACACCAAACCCCGTGTTCTCTCCCTGCCCTTATCTGCACCCCTGTCTGGGAGCGGGTTCCCCATGTGACCTTGCAGACAGGGTCTGGGGCCTCAGGGCTCAGAGACCCCTGGGTGGGTGGTGGCCTTGGCTCTAGAGCATCTCCCTCAGCAGCCAGCTCTGGCCTATCTTTGCAGGCGTTTTTGGAGTCTGGCCGCCCTGGACCTCCAGGATTGCCAGGTGATGGTCCTCGGGGAGGGTGGGTCCCTTCCTCTCTGGCCTCGGCTTGGAGCTGGGGCGGGGGCCCCTCACAGGGCTGCGGGGTTCTGCAGGACTTCGAGCTCCCCACTAACCCTGGGCTCCTCCATCCCCGAGGCAGCATGAATTCCCCGTGGCCCACGCCCCCCAGTCCCGATTGATCATGGTCCCCTCTGCTGAGCCTCCTGGTTCCTCCAGGCAGGACCTTCCAGGCAGCCTAACCGTGGATGGGAGTAGACACTGAATGGCCACCCACTTGCCATCCGAAATTCAGATCTGGCTTTCCTACCCACGGAAGCGCCTGGTCTGCCCACAGGAGCGACGTGGCCTCTGGGAACTGACCGCTGGGCAGGGTGGGACCTCCGAGCGCTTCTGCCGGCCGCAAGCTCTTGCTCTGATGGCCCCCAAGTCCATGTGACGTCCCCTTCCCTGACCTAGGCCCCCCTTAGTGTACACAGTGCTCACCAGGGTCGGGGGCATGTGCAGGTGGGAGGGAATGTCCTCGAGGTCGAGGTCACACATTTGACACTGGGCACTTGGCTCTTTGTCCCTCCAGGGCACCAGGGACCTTCTGGACCGAAGGGTGACAAAGGAGAAGTGGGTCCCCCTGGACCACCCGGTGAGTGCTCTAGGCAGCTCTGGGCTGATGGGGCCAGGGCACCAAGCGTGGTGGGTGGGTCCTCCATGCTCGCTGTGTGTCTGGTCATCCATCCTGCCCTCCCGGAGAAAGGAAGCCCCTTCCAGGCTCAGGGGGCCCTGACAGGGCCTGTGGTGCTGGGTGTTGATTCGGGGCCACCTGGTCGGCCCCACAGCCTCGGGGCCAGGGCGAGGGACTGCAAGGACAGGTGGCTGGAGGAAGCAGGGCCAAGGTGATGTCCAGGCAGGATGTCCCATCACCCCGCCCACTGAGGATTGGGGCTGGGCCCCAAGAGCTGAGGCGCCTCCTCACTGCCAGCTGGCTGAGAGCCGGGGCCTCCAGGAGTCGGGGGCTGCTGCCCAGAGCGAGGGCAGGTCAGAGCCAGGTGGCGGTGGAAGCACACCTTGCTGACGGGACGAGCTCCCTGAGGCCCGGGATTTAACAAGGACCAGGAAGGAGCGCCCAGACTCGGGCTTAGCTGTGATAGTGACGTTCAAAAGTGAACAATGGTGGAGATGTCAGCAGAGAGCTGGACCCGGAGAAAGGAGTTGGGTTTAATTCTGGGGCTGAAAGCCACGGCGTGGGACTCGAGGGCCCTGTGTAAGTTTGTCAGACGGGACACAGCCCGAGAGAGGGGGGGATGGAGGTCAGTCCACGCGAGCTCCAGGAGGACGGACAGCCTGACGGAGCAGAGACACTGCAGGGTGAGGACTTGGCTGCTGTCAGGCGCCACAGAGAGGGGGCACCAGGTAAAGAGCATTTGGAGGCCTGTCGGCCGAAAGATTTCCAAAATGAGGAACGATTCAAAGACGCCTCATATGGCAGCTGATTCCTGCACAGAAATGAGAGGAGGCCATCAGAGGTTCCAAACGTCGGAGGGAAGTAACTGCTCGCTTAGAGTTCTGCAGCAGGGAAGACATCCCTCATGGGGAAAATGCAGCAGGCAGCCAGGCCCTCCCAGCACACCTGCCTTGTTGGGGACGCTGAGACCCTTTGGGGAGAAGGAAGTGACGCAGCAGAGAGCGTGGGTAGGGGGCGAGGGAGGAGCAGCAGAGAGGAGAGTCACCCCCACGGCTCTGCTCCACACCGCGCAGGACAGTGGAGGCCCGAGACCCTGGAGGGAAGACACTGGACTGAGGCAAGGAGGCACCTTGTCACCAGGAAGGAGCCAAGGGCGGGAGGGAGAGTGCGCCTAACAACCTATCAGAAGGTAAATTGCAGAGAAAAAGCTCGATCCAAAGATGGTGAAAAAGGAGAGAAAAGGAGTTCACAACAGCTGGAACAAATAGAAAACAGGGAGTAAAATAGCTGATTTAAACCCAAGTGTACAATCAGTGCGTTACACGTGAAGAGGGAAATGCTCCTGCTGAAGACAAATACGCCAGTGGAGAAAAAACAAACCATATGGTGCTCACAGGAGACCCCTAAACGGGAGGACACGAGACTGCAGGTGAGAGGGAGGATGTTCTGTGAGAAGGGAGCTGGGGAAGGTGGTCACACATGTACGTGTGCCTTTGTGCACGTGTGTGTGTATGTGTGCCTGTGTGCACGTGTGTGCATGTGAAATCAGACAAGTGTATCTCAAGGCGGGAGACGTTGCCAGAAATCGGAAAGTGTTCATAATCATCAAAAAGGAAATCCAGCAGGAAACACAGCAATTCTAAGTTTCTTTGCACATAACGACATAGCTCCCAAGATATAAAAAGTAAAGTTGATAGAACTAAAAGGAAAAACACAGAAATCACTCTTCATAGGGAGTTTTAACCCTGCTGTCAGTAAGGGATGGAACAGCAGACACAAGAACAGGTCATCGGGAGATGGCGGGTCCCAACCGTGGTGGCAACCAGCACCTCTGTGCCTGGCACCAACACCGAGATGCCATCTCTACCACGTGGCCCACGCTGTGGCTCTGGAGAGCTGGGTCATGTGGAGCAGGCTATCTGACCACAGTGGAAGGAGCGGGAAGTCAGCATCAGAGAGGGACATGGAAACGCCCGAGAGCAGTGCACTGCCTGGTGGGAACGGAGAAGACCTGCCTGGAGCTGGAGGATGACCAGACTGGACTCGTCGAGGGTAGTGAGGGGGCAGCGAGGGCCTTGCTTGCAGGGCTCTCAGCCCTCCCTCTGCAGCCCGTGGTGGCCTTGGAGCCGAGAGACCCCCACTTGATGGGGCCTCTGCATTGGGTCGCCCAGCTCTGCCAAAGGACCTGGGACGGGAGCCGCAGCGACGGCGTGTGAGCTGGGCTGGCCCTGGGTGGGCGTGGAGTTCCCCCGTAACAGCCCAGGCAGAGCCCAGAGCTGGGGCTCCCGCCTGTCAGGGCTTCACACTGGCCTCCCCCAGGCCGTTTACCCAGCGGGGGGCCCAGGACTCCGGCAGCCCTGCAACTCCGTGGGGCTGATGGGGTGCCAGCTCCCCCATCAGGTCTACCCAGCGGGGGTCTTGTCACCCCAGTGCTCTGACATCCCACCTTTGTCGGGTTTCCAGGGGAAGGGTCTGGAGAAGGTCAGCCCAAGGTCACTTTCCTCCCTGGAAGGAGAACGGGTTTTCTTAACTCTTCGTTTACAAAATTACGGCTGTATGTCCTGTACGTTTCTAAGCATACAGCTCAAGAAGTTAGAAAACCAATAGCAGCTTTAGTTTGAAGAAAATAGATGGGAAGAAATAGTAAAGATCAGAAGTAAATGGAAAAAAAAGTCCACATATGTAATAGAAGTGTCAAGGAAAAACAAAATTGGAAAGTTAGTTCTTTGAAAAGGCTGATAACATTGATATGCCCCTCACAGGCCTGAGAGGGATGAGATGCCACAAGTGAAGCTGGCAGAGGGCTCCTCTGCCAAGTGTCGCCTGGACACCCACCTACCACCCTCGGGGGGGACACGGGCTCCCGGGGGTGCAGGCCCAGCCAGGGTGAGAGGCGGGGCGAGAAGTACGTGGCATGTGTTTTGGGAAGGGAAGAAACAGACCTGCTGTTTTCACAGACAATGCTTTTTGAATGTCAGCAACCCAAAAGGATCGACCAATAAACTGTTAGAATTAAGGAGTAAATCTGCCAAGGTCACAAGGGCACTTTACAGAAATCAGTGACCCGTCATACTTGAAATGAAATTTTAAAAAGGCGCCTTTTAGAAAAAGAGATCAGATTGGCAGTTCCAGAAGTGGGCAGTGGGGGGTGGGGACAAGGGGTAAAGGGGGGTCACAAGGTACAAACTTCCAGTGAGTTATTAGAGAACTGAGTCCTGGGGGTGTCAGGTTCAGCGCGGTGACTATAATGCACTGTATCGTCTATTGGAAAGTTGCTGAGAGTAGATCCTAAAAGCTGTCATACAAGAAAAAAACCGTTTTTTTAAACCTATGTGAAATGACAGATGCTAAGTCATCTTACTCGGTAATCATTTCATGCTATGTCAGTCAAGTCATCATGCTACACCTTAAACTCACGCCGTGCTTTTTGTCAGTTGTATCTCAAAACTGAAAGAAAAAGGCACCGTTAACCAAAACATCAAGAAATAGCAAGTAAGTGGGAATACGTGGAGCCTCTACCCAGAGACACAGAAACGACGACAGGAGGGGAAGGAGGACGCAGGCAGGTGCGGGTGGTGGTGAAGGGGAGGCGAGGACGCTCACCCAATCTCGCCTCCCGCAGGGCAGTTCCCGTTGGACCTCCTCCAGCTGGAGGCTGAAATGAAGGTGGGTGACAGCGCTGGTCCTCAGGGGAGCCTGGTGCAGACCGTCGTCCCGCGGAGCTGTCTGCCCACCCCGTGCTGGGCACTGGCTGCAGGATCCGCGCAGTCCTGGCTCAGTTTTGGGGGACCTGGTTGGCGCAGTGGGAGGCTGGGAAGCCGAGCCCTGTCCCACAGGGCCTGCCAGGCCTGGGCTCCAGAAGCTTCCGGCTGTCATACCCTGCCTACACCCCGCCCCTCCCCACCTGGCAACGAGAGCTGGGCTGTCCCTGACTGGCATTTCTATCCACAGGGGGAGAAGGGTGACCGAGGGCCTGCCGGACAGAAAGGTGAAAGGGGCGAGCCCGGAGCTGGCGGATTCTTCGGCTCCAGTGTGCCCGGCCCCCCCGGCCCACCGGGCTACCCTGGGATTCCGGTAAGTCTGGGCCCCGGGCCTCCCTGCAGATGCCTGCCCAGGCCCAGGCCTGTGTCAGAACTGGTGTCCCCAGAGGTCCCTGGGGCCAGAGCCGAGGGCGAGTCCAGCCCAATGGGGTCGCCCTCCAAGGCCACAGCCTGTGCCTGCGAGCTGGGCCCCAAGGGCGCCCTCTTCCTGTTCTTTGTCCTTGTGTGGGGGGATATGGCAGGTGGGTAGGGGCTCAGCCCCTGTCCTCCCAGGGTGGACTCGCTGGCCTGGGGGCGCTGTTCCTCCTCAGCGGGACTCTACCAGACCCCTCAGGGAGACTGTCTGTCCTAAAAGATTCCAGGGAACCGTGGGCCCCAGCTTCTATCTGGCGGGTGGAAGGGGATCGAGGGCCCCCCGGGGACCGCACCCTTGTCCAGGGGCCACTCAGGTCTCCATCCTGGGGTCCCATCCTAGGTCCTGTGGCCTGGGCGGGGAGGTGACCATGGCTCGGAGGCAGTGCTCGCTGCGGGGGCTCTTGGCAGATGCAGCCCAGACCCTCAAGTTTGCTTGTCCCGGGCCTGAGGGACGTAGGTGACAATGCTCTGTGTTTTGTCATCCACCCTAGGGTCCTAAGGGAGAGAGCATCCGAGGACAGCCTGGCCCACCTGGACCTCAGGGACCCCCTGGCATCGGCTATGAAGGACGCCAGGGGCCTCCCGGACCCCCTGGTCCCCCAGGCCCCCCAGGGCCCCCTTCCTTTCCTGGCCCTTACAGGCAGAGTAAGTCAAGCAGGAGTGGGCCTGGGCTCCAGCCTCATCCAGCCAGGGCCACGGATCCCACCTCTGGTTTCTCTCTTAGCCATCAGCGTTCCAGGCCCTCCAGGCCCGCCTGGGCCCCCAGGACCCCCCGGCACCATGGGCACCTCCTCAGGGGTAAGCAGCGCCCACCCTAACCCGTTAGACCTCCCTGTCACCCCGCCCTTCCCCGTGGAGACCCATGGAGGGCTGCCTCAGGGACCCTTGCTGGACCCCACAGGGACCCCAGCGGCTGAGGCCGGCATTGCCCCGAGCAGGTGCACAGAAGCCCTGAGACGTGGTTTCCAAAGGGGAAGCAGGGATCCCGGGGTCTAAGGTGGGCAGACTGGGAGGGTGGCCCCTGAGAAGGTCCCGGGCCCCCACAGTGCTCATGGGCACCTCAAAGACTACATGCCAAGACGCCCCTCCTTCCTGGAGGGGACCACCCGACGAGAAAGGCGCCCACTTCAGTCTTGAGGACTGTCCCTCACGAGGGGGCGTCTGTGTCCCCACCCAGCTTCCTGAAATGTCCAACACGGCCCCCCGGATGCCCCACCCTGTCAGGACCATGTGCCCCACCACCGCCCCCCCGTGAGCCCCGAGGGTGCCTCTGCCCAGCGGGACCCATGGGCCTGGCTTCCAGCAGGTGAGGATCTGGGCCACGTACCAGACCATGCTGGACAAGGTGCCCGAGGTGCCGGAGGGCTGGCTCATCTTCGTAGCCGAGAGGGAGGAGCTGTACGTCCGCGTCCGGAACGGGTTCCGGAGGGTGCTGGTGAGTTCTCCGGCCAGACTTTCCCCTCACACGGAAGGGGCCTGCGGCCGTCCCACCTCGCTCATGGCATGAGGGATGCCAGAGAAGATGCAGGCAGAGCAGGAAGCCCCGGGTGGTGGGGGGCGCGCAGAGGGTCCACTGCGAGCCTCGCCGAGTCAGGACCGTCCCGCTGGGCAGGCGCCCCGTGCAGTGACAGCCACGTTTCTCCTCACCCTTCTTTCCTTAAGCTTTTAATTAGTAGACTGTTTGCTTGAGCCATTCTAGGTTTACAGAGAAGTGACCCCTTATGCCTTTTATAGTAGATGATGTGTTAACTGCGTCGTGGGCCAGGCTCTAGGAGGCAGCCCGGCTGGCGTCCAATGGGGAGGGCCAGGCGGGCGAGTGGACAGGCTGCCTGGGTCTGGGTGTGGTGGGCTGGGGGCCCCGGCCTGACCCCACGTTTTCTTCCAGCTGGACGCCCGGATGCCCCTCCCCCGCGGGACGGTAAGGATCCTTCGTCCCTCCACGACCGTGCAGTGGACACCTGCGCTCCAGGCCCCGGGCACGGCCAGGACGCAGGGCGTGCAAGTGTGGTGGTCTGCACGCTGCATCATGTTTCTGGACGACCCCTGGTGCTTTAGGGTCTTGGAGCCCCTTGTGCGGCCACCCCTGCTGGGGAGTAGGGTGTGCAGACCCCGAGGGGCACCTCCCTTCAGTGCACACTTGTCACTCTCCCCGGGCGGGAGATCCACTCCTGGGAAGTCCACTTCTTATTTGAGTTTTTGTCTTTATTCATGCAGAGTGTGTTCCCGGGACTGACCCCTGTAGGGTGGGCCAGAGGGGAGGGAGAGCGAGGATGGGGGACAGAGGGGCCGAGATAGTGAATTTTCCTAAGTCCGTGTCAGTCCAGCTGCTGAGAGCTCCTGAGTAGAAGACACGACTTCTCAGGCGGCTCAGGAAGGAGGCCCTGTGCCAGGTGGCAGGTCCCCCTTCCTTGCTTCCTTCCTTCCTTTCGTCCTTCGTTCAGCACAGTCACCGGCCCCACCTGTGTGCTGGGCAGTGTTCGCAGTGTGAGGTGCAGCTGTGCATGACACAAGCAGAGCCCCCCACCCCGTGGAGCTGACACTGTGTCAGGGAGACGGGCAGTAAAGGCGATAAGCAAAACGTCATATTATATTACATATACTGTATAATATTGTATGTAACATATACGTTACAAATTATTAATGAGTAATAGGGACCTGGTAATAGGTCGCAGGTAGTAAATTGTATGGTGCATCAGAAGGTGTTCGCTGCTGTGGGGAAAAAGTGGGAATCGGGTGGGGCGCAGGGGCTGGGACTTCGAAGGTGGAGGTCATCTCTGAGGTGGGAACGGAGCAAAGGCTTAAGGCAGCGAGACCCGGGTCCCCGGGAGTCTGAGCTGCAGCCAGGAGGGGCCCGTGAGGTCAGGGGGCTGTAGTGGCCTGAGGGCCCCAGGGCCACAGCAAGGAGGTGGCTTCTGGGTGTCACGGAGCCCGGGGACCTTGAGCAGAGGGCCCTCTGGCCCTATTCCAGCGTTAAACAGGCTGGTGCAGCTTCCCCTCACCCCCGGCTCCCCCCAGTACTTCGGGGCACCCCCAGCTCTCTGCCTCCAGTCCAGCCCTCTCCTGCCCAAGAGCACAGGTTGGGGTACAGATGAAGGGGTGCCCGGGCCAGGCAGCCAGATTTCGCTGGAGCAGGAGAGCAGAGCACAGGGCGCCCGGTAGGGCCTCACGGTACTGTCTGCCCCTCGGTCCGCAGGACAACGAAGTGGCCGCCTTACAGCCCCCCGTGGTGCAGCTCCACGAGGGCAACCCGTACCCCCGGCGGGAGGTTCCCCACTCCACGGCACGACCCTGGCGGGCGGACGACATCCTGGCCAGCCCCCCACGTCTGCCGGACCCCCAGCCCTACCCTGGAGCCCCGCACCATGGCTCCTATGTGCACCTCCGGCCGGCGCGCCCCACCAGCTCACTCACCCACACCCACCAGGACTTTCAGCCGGTGGTGAGTGACTGTCCATTATAGTTAAAGGCCTCCAAGGTCAGTCCTTACTCATGTCCTGGGGAAGCTGGGACGACGGTGGTGACAGCGCTGGGCACAGGGGCCCTAGGGAGCCCATTTTCCACGGAGGCAGCTGGTGAGGCCTGAGGACAGGGACTTGCTTGGGAGGTGGACGTGGAGGTGGGGGTGGCCTGACGGTGGCTGCTGTGGGCCCAGCAGCTGAGGGCGCTGCCTCCCAGCCCACTGAGCTGTCTCTGCAGCCGGCTGAGGGGTCGGCCTACCGGCTCTCATGGGATCCTAAGCGCCTGCCACGCGGGCATTTCACGCACTCGGCCTTCCTGGCGGGGCCTGAGCTCCGACTCAGACTTGCCCTTGCTGTCCATGGAGGGCTGGGGCCAGGGCACAGGGTGGGCCATGTTGGGAGGCCAGGGTGTGGGAGGCGAGGGCATGTAGGGCTGGGTGGGGCTGGCAGGGGCGCGCCTAGGTCCTGGGGGCCCTCTGGCTGGCGCTGATGCTTCGCGGCTCCCCGCAGCTCCACCTGATCGCACTCAACAGCCCGCAGTCGGGCGGCCTGCGCGGCATCCGCGGCGCGGACTTCCAGTGCTTCCAGCAGGCGCGCGCCGTGGGGCTGGCCGGCACCTTCCGCGCCTTCCTGTCCTCGCGGCTGCAGGACCTCTACAGCATCGTGCGCCGTGCTGACCGTGCCAGTGTGCCCATCGTCAACCTCAGGGTGGGTGCGGCAGCTCTGTGCGCACGGGGCAGGGACCTGGGTGTCAGGGGGCACGGGGCCATCAGCCCCTGAGAGCCTGGCAGGGCCCTGCATCCCTGGGGGCCTGAAGCCCCCACGTGGCCCCTGACCCTAGCACCCACCTGCCAGTCACATGTGTGCGTCTCCAGTCATAGGAGGCAGGGCCGGGCTCACACATGGCCGTGTAGGAGCTGAGGGTCAGGAAACATCCTTCAAGCTGTCCTTCCTTGAGTGTCAGTCCAGGGCCTGGCTGCCCCTGTGCCACAGTGCCCTTCACGATTATTCCGTGGCCCCTTCACGATTATTCCGTGGCTCCTTCCCACGAACGGATCGTGTGCTTTCCGGATGCCCCCGAGCACCAGCACCAGGACCAAAGGCATGGACTTGCCCCAGGCCACGGGAGGGTGTCCTGCGGGCCGGCCCATCCTCGGAAAGGTGTGGGGTCTGCTGAGGCCGCCTGGCCACCCGTCCCTCTGGCAGGACGTGCCCAGACGGAATAAGCCCCCTGCGCTTCTCCTTGCAGGACGAGGTGCTGTTCCCCAGCTGGGAGGCCTTGTTCACGGGCTCCGAGGGCCGGCTGAAGCCCGGGGCCCGCATCTTCTCTTTCGATGGCAGAGACGTCCTGCAGCACCCCGCCTGGTAGGTCCCCGTGTGAGGCAGCAGCCCGGGGGTGGCTCTGAGTCCTCCAGAACCTAAGCAAAGGACGAGGCTCCTGATTCCACCCCACCCTCCCAGCCCTCCCTGTTCCTGATATGTGCTCGCTATTCAAGTCATAAAATGCAGCAGAGCACGAAGAACAATTAAGTGTTGTCTGTGGGGTTGTATAAACACCCCATCTAGCCAGCTGCTCGGGGCAAGTGCCCTGGTCAGGGAGACGGTCTGGTGGCCCACGGCTGACGGGCTCCGCATGCCCTCGATGGTTTAACCAGCCCCGCCGTCTATCACGAGACTTCATGGCGAATCATCTCCTTTGTAGAGTGAATTCCTCAAAGTGGAATTTCCGAGTTGGAGAACGCGTGCACTTAAAAGCTGGCAGAAGTTGCCGGATTGCCCTCAAAACAGCCTCACACCGGCTGTCCCTCCGAGGGCTGGTGGGGGTGTGGGCGCCTGTTCCCGCAGTGCTCACGCTTTGAAAAGCATGGCTACAGGGGTCTAGACAAGATTCCCCTGGGGTTCCTGCCCTCACGGGGAAGTGCCCACCCAGGGCCGTCCTCGGAGGTCCAGCACAGGTGCTCAGAGCCAGGTCTGCCCAGCCCAGGAGGACCAGCCGTGGGGCTCCAGGCCCTGTTCCCCAGCCTGCAGCAGCACAGGGTGTGGTCGAGGTGGTGGAGCCTCCAGTGACGAGGGATGGCCTGACTCCCAGCGGCCCCCACGTCCAGCCGCAGCCTCCGTCTTTGAGAAACGCCCTTTTTGGGGGTGGGGGGCAGCTGGCCCAGGTGAGACTGACGGCTGGCACATTTTGCAGGCCCCAGAAGAGCGTGTGGCACGGCTCGGACCCCAGTGGGCGCCGGCTGACCGAGAGCTACTGCGAGACGTGGCGGACCGAGGCCACGGCAGCCACAGGCCAGGCATCCTCGCTGCTGGCGGGCCGGCTGCTGGAGCAGAAATCCGCCAGCTGCCACAACGCCTTCATCGTCCTCTGCATCGAGAACAGCTTCATGACCTCCTCCTCCAAGTAGGGCCTCTGCTGGCCCGGACGGACAGATGGGCGGACGGACAGATGGCCGGAGAGGCGGCCAGGCAGCAGGGGGAGTGGTGGAGCCCCCAGTGCAGGGCAGGGAGTCTGCCAGTGCCCCCAGGGTGGGGACCTGGCTGGGACACTCTCCTGTATGGTTCACATTTCATGTAATCCTCGAGAAATAAAAGGAAGCCAAAGAGTGTATTTTTTAAAAAGTTTAAAACAGAAAGCCTGGTGGCAAGACTCTTTTTCTGGCCCCTCCCTGTCCCATCCTGTCCCCCAGCCCGCAGCCTGGCCCTGCAGGGCGCTGTCCTTGGTGCCTAAGGAGCCCTGTTGGCCTGAATGAACCAGCAGGTAGACCTGGGTCCCTGTTGGCAAGAGGCCGACTCCAGAACTTACTGCCCTGGGGAGGGTTGTGCGCCCGGGGCCTCACAGCTGCCGGGTGGGGCCCTCAATCGCCTGGGCAGGTGCTGACTCAGTTTCCTGCCTGGCACTCCTTCTCGTGCACAAAATAGACCAGCCACAGGGCCTTGGGGGGCTGCACCCACAGTCTCCCTCTTCCCCTCCCGACCTGGCCCAGGGGCTGTGCCAGCAGCAGAGAAGGGGCACCCCGTCCCCATGCGTTGAACAGTCAGGACGGCTCATGTCATGGGTGCCAGGGAAGACCACTGCCCCTCAAAACAACGCTCCCCTGGCTGGAGCAGTTTCCAAGCTCAGTGCCCCGCTGCTGACCCCACCTCCTCGGGGCCTCGTGGGTTCTGTCCCCTGCCCCCGACACCACTGTATGCAGGTGGCCTGTGCATTACTTATCCCTTGAGTCAGCCCTGCCATGTGGCGCCTGTCTTTGCACCTCTGTCCTGGGCCGGCTTCCCAAGTAACCCATGAGGTCACACCCAGTGCAGGGCTTGACCCCAGAGAAGGCTGTGCTGGGAGAGTTTTGTGGGGGTCTACCAACCAGGGCGTGGCAGCGTCCTGTCTTGGGGCCCCGACCCCATGCCCAACTCTCTGTTTCTAGAGTAAGGATGCCCAATGCTGATGCCTGCCGAGCTCTGCCCAGGGGCATGTCCTGGGACCCAACTGGGCCCAAACCCAGGATGCCTGGGTCCCTGGCCAGAACTGCGTCCTCCTGAGTCCAGCACTGGACACAGAGCTGAGGAAACCTTGGAGGCAAGGGCGATGGCCACGCATGCCCCTGGCTAGGACACAGCTCACAGTCAACTCAGGGCTGCCCCGCCAAGCCTTGGGACAGACAAGGCCACATAAAGGGTTGGGGCTGGTGCAGGACGGGACCGGGCCGTGTCCACGAGCCACGTGTGCAAGGCAGAGGGTACACCAGCACCTCTGAAAGGAAATCCACGTCGTTGCCCTCCCTGCAGGAGGACCGGAAAGGACGTTCGGGGGGGGGGGGGCCTCTGGGCTCTCTGGGGGAGCTAGCGGGGCTCTGCACTGGGGGCCGTGCTGGGAGGGGTGGGGGACCACAGTCCCGCTGCCCAGGGTCTGCTGTCAGCACTGGGACTGTAACCAGGCTGCTCCTGTCAGCCAGGTGGTGCAGCTCTCCAACAGGCTCAAGAAAGGACCCTGCACACGACGCTGGATGCAGGCAGCCTTCAGAGTCATCGGTCAGGGCCTCAGGAGCCTTCTGTCCCTGGACTGCCCAGCTGGCAGATCCTGCTAAGGGAGCACAGGTGTGCACGAGGTACACGGGTGAGCACAGACATACACGGATACATATATAGGTGTGCATGGAAACATAGGCATACACAGTGTGCGTGGAGGTGCTGCACTCCTCTCTTTTCACGGGTCTCCCTGGGGGCAGCCAGCAGTCCTCACAGGCTCCTCCTTCCAGGCTGGAGGGGGCTGTTCTGCAGCCTGGGCTCCAGCCCCAGAACTCGCCTCCTCCGTGCCCCACTGCTGCAGTCAGCTGGGCCCCGGGAGGTTAGGGCTGTGCACACCGCAGGGAGCACAGGCTCACTGTGTGCCTGGAACCAATGCTGCCCCCATCCTGGTGGCCGAGGAGCTCGAGAGCAGGAGAGATCAGGTCCTCAGGGCCTGGAGATGGCAGAGGCTGAGCAGGGGGCCACGGCACACGTGGGGAGGCTGCGGAGGGAGCGGGTGGGGGCTGGGGGGAGGACCAGACAGCTGGAGGGGGCGTCACACTAGGTGTCTGGGCCCGGAAGGAGGATGCTGCTGGGCCCTGGACTCCATGCTGCCCCCTTCCCAGCAGGGTCCTCGGGTGGCTGTGACGGGCCTGTGTGGACACGCGTGGGGACCACTCGCCCTGTGGCCCATAGTCGGCTGTGATGAACCAAGCACCGAGTGAGTACAGCCTCCTCCTCGGCCCTCAGGATGCCCGAAGACGCCCCACTCGCCCAAGCCGACCTCAGGGCACCCTGGGGTACAGCCAGCTCTGGTGGCCCCTCCTGAGCCAGGAGTGCTGCTCCTCACTGAAAGCTGGCTCCGAGCAGCTGGCCTGCCCTTTGGACCCCGTGGAGCGCCGGCGCTGCTGAGCTGCCCTGCCCTGGTCGGGGGCGGAGGGGCACAGGAGGGAGCTCAGCCCAAGGGCACAGTGCCTAGAGTGGGTCCTTGCGGGTGGCTGGGGCAGGGGCCGGGATGCCCTTCTCGGCCTCCCTATGGACCGCCAGCCTCCACCCCCAGGCCCGCAAAGAATCAGCAGCCACCTCACACACAGGTTGTGTGGTCTTTAATGCATTTCGAGAAGAGCAGACCATCTCACACCTCAGGGGGATGCAGGACTGGTTCTCAGACCCCCAGGTGGCATGCCCAGGTGGCACAGGGTGAGTCCTCTGGGCTGGCATGTGAGCAGCCCCACGCGGCCCTCCACCAGCAGGAGGTAGGTCAGCATCAGCCCACTTCAGGAATGGAGGGAGGACGATGGAGGGCCTGGGGTAAAGTGAGGAACCAGCTCCCAGGGCCCAGTGTCCTGCTTCCACCTGGCGGGGAACGCTGCCCTGCCCCCACCCAGCTTCTCCCACAGAAAAAGAGAAGCCAGATGAGGTTTCTCAATTAAGTCAGTTAAAAAAAAGGAACACTGCACTGTTTAAAATGCAAGCACCTGGACAACCGGAAATGTCACCGTTTAGCCACAGGCCCAGGAATGCAAGGGCCCAGGACACCCCATGGGGGCTGGAGTCTGCAGGGCTGGCATCCAGGGCCACCTTGCCAGTCCCCAGGGGCAAGCAGGATTTGCCTCCCAAGAAAGTGAGGGGCAGGTGGTGTGGTGGGCACAGGAAACCCACCACTGTCCACATGAGGGCCGGGCACAGCAACCTAGCCCACAGCAGCCAGCAGCTGCCAGAGTCCCCACGGGCCCCAGGCCATGGCAGAGGTGAAGTGGGGGTGAGGGGTGCAGGGCTCGGGGCTGCCTGGGACAAGCCAAGCCCCCTCACTGAGGCATGGGTCATGGGACCAGACCATGTAGGGGCTCCAAAGTCTGAACACTGAAATTCGGACAACACTGGAAACCTGGACACCAGGAGGCGCGGTGACCAAAGTCTCAGGCTCGGTGAGGACGTGGAGACGACGGGTGTGCTGCCTCTGGTGTCAGGGATCTGGCCACCCGCTGGGCCGGGCTGGGAGGGCAGGTCAGGCCAGGTCAGGCCTTGGCCTCCGGTTGCTCGCTCTGCTCCATGGAGGCCGGCCCGGTGGCCCATGTGCTGATCTCTGGGTCCGGCAGCAGGGCCCCGTCCTGCACGCTCAGCACCTGCGTGGCCGCCTCCTCGGGGCTGCTCAGGTCCTGGGCCAGGGGCAGGGGCTGGTGGCGGCGCTCGTGGAGGTGCCGCAGGCCCACCAGCACAGCCCCCAGGAAGTAGGCGGCGGACATCACCAAGAAGTACACGAAGTAGACGAGGAACTGGAACAGAGAGGGTGCAGGTGAGGGGCGGGGCGGGAGGGGCCAGCAACCCAGGAGGGGCAGTCAGGGCGGGCACTGTGTGCTCCCCCCTCGCTCTCCCTCTGGCTTGGAGGCGCCCAGGGGTCAGAGGCCAGCGCGCGAGCAGGTCCCACAGTGCGCAAGCACCACCCTCGCCCTCCTCCCTGCCACAGCTGGGCGCCGCCCTGGGGGGCTCCCTCCACTTTCCCACAGAACCCCGGAACTTTCCCCGCAGCCCTGTGGCCTCCGGGAGCTCCCCCGAGGCGCCCTGCTCATTTCCCATGACCATAGCCCCGCTTCCCTCTGAGGGCCGAGTTCCCACGGCTGCCGAGGGTTCACGGACATCTGTGCTCAGCGGAGCCGGGCGAGGAGGATGGCAGTCTGCGTCTCCCATGGCCCGAGAGCCAGGCAGCCCTGGTGACAGGCGAGACTGCACAGCAGTGACACAAGGGAAGGCATGCCCAGCACACGAATGTCCCCCTCGATTCTCAAGACCATGGAGACAGGTCGGGGAGGTCCCGGTGTCTATGGGCCAGAACAAGCGCGGGCCCCGCCCAGAGCCCAGAGCTCTGCAGGCCAGCCCCCTGGAGCCCCTCGTCACTGCGCTGTCAGCCCTTCAGGGAAGCCCACTGTCAGAAACAACACCAGGAAATGAGTCGCCAAGAACTGTGCTTCCATGAAGATGGAGGTGACGTGTTCCACCTGTTCCCCCCCAGGTGTGCCTGAGACCCTGCGTGTGATGCTTCTGTGTGCCCAGAGCACACAGGTGACTGACGGGTGGACGGGGGCAGACCAGCCAGGGACCTGGGACCCCAGGCAGCAACACGGTGATGCATTCCCTGGGCTTTTTCTTTTTGCTGCATGACTTTTTGAACTAAAGAACCCAGCAACACAGAAATGCTGAAAAATGCAGAAAAAATGCCCCAACTAAAGCTGCTTTCTATGGCCAAAGGATCAGAGGGGGATGCCCAGCAGGACAGGAAACTGAGAGATGGGAACCATGCTACTCCAGCCAGACCCCACCCTCCCATCCTCCCAACCACCCAGCAAGGACGAGGGGGGAGCTTCCAGCTAGACCACACTCTTGTTACCCAGGCTGTAACAAGGCCCCCGCCCACCTTGGGGTGGTGCTGGACAAGGCCCAGTGGGGAGCTGGAACGTTCACCCCTACAGAGACCACCTGGGAAGGGACCCCCAACCCCCTCAGGGTCAGGACTTTCACCCCTCAGCTGCAGCAAGAATGCCCCACAGCCCTGTCACTAAAGGGCACGTGGGGAGCTGGAAACCCTTTCCCTGCCCAGCATAAGGAGGAGCCTGGTTCAGCATCAGGAGGGCTGAGTGAAGGGCCTAGACTGTCACCCCACATGGCTGGAATGAGGTGCACACCCCTAACTTCCCCTGCTGGGGCGGCATGAGCAGCAGTCAGCTAACACGGAAGGATCAGGTACGACCCAGTCTCATACTGACACCCACAAGGCCCAGGCGTCGGTCAGAAACCGCTCACACACACAGCCACGGGGAGCTCCACCCACACAGGACACAACCAGCAGGTACCAGCACCAGGGAGACAGGGATGCTGACATTCCACGAGACCTAGCCCAGAGACCCAGCTTATCAGCTTGCCACCATCATAAAAATGCTTCCACGAGCAACAAACATGCTTGAAACAAATGAAAGAAAGTCTCAGGAAAGAAACAGGAGAGACAAAGAGGAAAATTTAAAACTGAAAAATACAATAATCACTAAAATAAAAACTCAGTGAACGGTCTCAACAACAGAGCAGAGGGGACAGAGAAAAGAATCAGTGAACTGGAAAACAAAACAGAAACTACTAAAGCTGAACAACAAAGAAAATAGATGGGAAAAAAAGCAGAGCCTCATTCTCTTTGGGACCATAAGCAAAAGACGTAACATTGTGTCCACAAGCAGAAAGAAGATGGGGCTGCAAAAGCAGTGAGGAAATAAGGGTCGAAAGCTCCCCAGGTCTGGCAAGAGCCATGAACCTACAGATTCCAGCAGCTGAGGGAATCCCAAATAGGACAAACCCAGAATAACCAGGCCAACAAATCCAAAGTCAGACTTGTGAGAGCTGAAGACAAAGACGGAGGGAGAATCTTGAAAGTAGGCAGCCCTAGCAGACTAATGTAGACACCGAAATTAAAAATACACATCACTGACAAGTGCTCAAAAAGCACTGAAACGCTTAGGTCTCAGTCTAACAAAACACGTGCAGTACTTGTGTGGTGAAAACTACAAAATGTGAAAGAAACCAAAGACATTCTAAATAAATGGACAGACAGACGTGTTCTCAGACTGGAAGATTCAACACGGCAAAGCTGTCCGTTTCCCAGAAACGATATACAGGCTCAGTGCTACTCCTAACAAAATCCCAGTCAGAGTTTCTGTACATACAGACAGGATTACTCTAAAAGTTGCAGGGAAAGGGAAAGACACTATAATAGTTCAAACAATTTTGAAAAAAAATTAAAAGTTGGGGGAACCAGTCTACCCAATTTCCAAACTGACCCTACAGCTGTGTGAGCAGGACAGGTGGTGACAGGGAAGGCGAGGCTCACAGCTCAGGGGAACAGGGCACCCAGACAGAGACGCACAAGCACACCCAGCTGAATGCTGACAAAGGTGAGGGAGCAAGTCAGCGGAGAAAAGTTGGTCTTCCCCACAAATGGTGCTGAAGCAACTGGACGTCCACAGACAAAAGAATGAAGCTTAATGCAGACTTCACACCTTAAACAAAAATTAACTCCAACTGATCACAGCCTTAAATGGAAAACTAAAAAGCTTTTCAAAAGAATGTGGGGAAAGTCTTCAGATCCCAAGCTGGGCAAAGAGTTCTTTTTAAAAGGAAAAATGGGGGCCGGCCCGGTGGCGCAGTGGTTAAGTTCGCACGTTCCGCTTCTCGGCTGCCCGGGATTCGCCAGTTCGGATCCCGGGTGTGGACATGGCACCACTTGGCAAAAGCCATGCTGTGGTAGGCGTCCCACGTATAAAGTAGAGGAAGACGGGCATGGATGTTAGCTCAGGGCCAGTCTTCCTCAAAAGAATAAAATAAAATAAAAGGAAAAATGGACAAATCAGACCTTATCAAAATTAAAAACCTTCACTCTACAAACATAACAAAGTCAAGCTACAGAGCTGGAAAAAACGTTTGCAAACCATATAGTCAGGCAGCACATAACACTGCAGTCAACGACGGACTGAACGTATGACGGTGGTCCCGTAAGATCAGCACACACGCCTGGGTGTGTGGGAGGCTGTACCATCCAGGTGTGTGCAAGTCACTCTGTGATGTTCGCACAACGAGGACACATTTCTCAGAAGGTATCCCTGTTGTCAGGTGATGTGTGACTGTGTATCCTACAAACGACTAACACTACACGACATAGTGCTCAAAACTCAAGAGTAAAAAGACAACCATCCAAACAGGAAATGGGCAGAAGAGTGAAGGGACATTTCACCAAAGAGAATGTGCAGACGGCAAACCAGCACGTGGAGAGAAAACGTCATTAGCCATTAGGGAAATGCAAATTAAAACCACAATAAAATAGCACCCAGACCCATCAAAATGGCTAAACAAAAAATAGTGATGGGGCCGGCCTGGTGGCATAGTGGTTAAGTTTGTGCACCCTGCTTTGTTGGCCTGAGGTTCGCAGGTCCGGATCCTAGGCACAGACCTACACACTGCTTATCAAGCCATACTGTGGCAGTGTTCCACATACAAAATAGAAAAATATTGGCCTAGATGTTAACAATAATCTTCCTCAAGCAAAAAGAGCAAGATTGGCAACAGATGTTAGCTCGAGGCCAATTTTCCTCACCATAAAAAAAAAACAGTGACAATACCAAAAGCTGATGAGGATTCGGAGAAACCAGATCTCTCGTCCGTGGCTGGTGGGAATGTAAATGGTGCAGCTACCGTGGGAAACAGACAGCGTCTTCAAAAGCACACAACAACAGTGTGACTCAGCAACTGCACTTCTGGGCATTTGTCCCAGACAAACGAAAACCCACGTTCACACAAATCCCTGTAAACAAACACTGATAGCAGATTCATTCCCAACAGCCCAAAGCTGGAAACAATCCAGAGTCCTTCACGTGGACAGGTAAACGAGCTGCCGTCCCTCCACACCAGGGACACCGCGCAAGGAAAAGGCATCAGCTAGGGGGGCAGCAATGCCCCCATGGATCTCAAAGGCCAGATTCCAGGGCGGGCCCTGTGGCTGAGCGGTTGAGTTCATGCACTCCACTTCAGCGGCCCAGGGTTTCACTGGTTCGGATCCTGGGCACGGACATGGCACCGTCATCAGGCCGTGCTGAGGCAGCATCCCACATGCCACAACTAGAAGGACCCACAACTAGAATATACAATTATGTACTAGGGGGCTTTGGGGAGAAGAGGAAAAAAAAAAGAAGAAGATTGGTAACAGTTGTTAGCTCAGGTGCGAATCTTTCAAAAAAAGACCTAGAAGGTTGATTTAAAAAAAAAAAGCCAGATTCCATTTAAATAACACCCACGAAACGCAAACGTGACAGAGATGGGGGCAGACTGCAGTGGCCGGGGGTCGGGGGGAGATGTGAAGGGAGTCAGCTGGGGTGAAAAGGCAGCTGGAGGGACCCTGTGGGGAGGGGACCATCTCACTCCAGACTGAGTGAGGTCAACATCCTGGTAGACGCTGCACCGCAGAACGGAGCATGTGCCCGGGGGAGAGGAACGGGCACACGGATCTGCAGCACCTCCCAGGTGCACATGAATGTGCGTCACCCAGAAACAGGAAGTTTAATTTAAAACAGAGCCAACAGAGGCCCGATCCCCATGCTCCGTCCTGGCCCCGTGTCTGCATGGCCTGTCCCCACCCCTCAGGCAGACGTGAGGGGCACACGGAGCACTGAGAATGGGCACAAGCGAGCAAGATGAGCGCCACTTCCTACATCCCGACCGCCAGAGCCTCTAACTGCAAACACGCCATCTGCTCCTCCAGTTACTCTTTAACTCGGAAGTGAAACCAGCCACAGAAAAATCAATGCGCTTTTCTCGATGCGACCTGACGTGGACAGGAGCCAGCAGGGGGCGGGGCTGCGCCAGGGCGGCGAGGGAGGCCCACCCTCAGGGAGGACGCGTGGGCGCTGGGTGACAGGCCTGCTTCTATGCACACTGCCTGGACCCACGGGCTGGACACAGGACAGCGACAGGTATAGGGACCTCAAAGGTCAGGGCCCACAGGCAGGTCAGAGCTGCCACGTGGCTGGGTCCACCAGGATCAGGGATCTCTCTGAGACAGGCCTCTGCCCATCCACACTAACTGCCCCACTCTGCTGGGCAGGAACTGGGGGTCCGGGATGGAGGGCTCTTCCCAGGCCAGCTGGACTACTGCCAGGCAAGGCTCCATGGAAAGGCCTGGGGCCAAGGGGTGCTCCCCTCACAGAGGCTGCTGCTTCTGGGGGGAGGCCTCCCTGGACAGTCAGCAGAAGCATCTGCCGGCCAACACCCCTGCAAGGGAGGCCCCCAGTATGTCCATCCCTGGGCACAGGGCTCATGCCCTCCCGATGGCCCCTCTGGCCTACCTGGTTGGTGCAGCTGTCCACACACCTGTGGACCTGAGTCCAGCTCGGCCACAGAGGGGCTGCGCCAACCCTGAGACAGTTCCCAGTGTCCAGCCCAGGGAGCCAGGGGCTGTGCGTCTGGAGGGCCCTGCAGAAGCAGGCCTGAGACTGACCTGCCCATGTGGACGCCAAGGGTGAGAGACCCTGATGCTCTTCCCCAAAGGGGCACTTCCACCCCCAGGACCATTTCTAGACGAGAGGGTCTGCTCCTGCCCGGCACCTCCTGCCTGGCCAACCATGGGGTCACCAAGGCCATGCAGACTCAGCACCCTCAGACGGAGGGTCAGACCTCGAGGGAGCCCAGGACCCACAGAGGTCCCGGCTCCCAGCAGATGGAGGCTGCGTCCCCTCAGGCCAAGGGTGCCTGTCGGGCCACAGGCTGCACGGGGTGGTCCCCGAGAAGCCCAGTCACCACCCCTCCTGAGGGCCCATCCTCTGGCTAGTTCTAGCTTGTCCAGAGGGGTCCTGCCCTGCCTGAGACCACAGGAGTCACACACAAGTGCCCCCCAACCTCACAGTGGATAGGAATTCTTGACCTCTTCTCAGAAGCACTGAGAACACGCCCAGAGTTGGACCAAGGGAAGAGGACCAGAGAGGGGCCAGCGCGCACCCACATCAACCCCACCAGCTCTCCTTCCACCCATCCTCCAACAGGAAGGCAAGGAGCTGTCACGTGAACCAGGCCCGGGTCTCACCGCCTGACGTCACAGGCAGGTACCTGAATAAGGGCAGTGAGCGAGGACAGCACGGGGACGCCTCTGTCCTCCCAGTGACGTCAGGCAGCGTGGTGGACGCCCAGGCCAGCAGGAGCCCCTCCAGAGCAACCCGCATCTAGGCCGACCTTGGAGGTCCCAGAGATCTAACTGGAATCAGCCATGCCGATGCTGATGTCCCCAACCTGGGCCCCAGGAGGAAGGACAGGCCAGCCCCGGGCAGCCACACCATGGCTCCCTGCTGCCCTGCCCTCTGACCTTTCCCCTCCTGCCCGGGGCTGCTTCTCACCTCCTGCTCTGACCCAGTCGGTCCAGTGTGTCCAGCTGGAGATGCCCGGCCCCCTGGGCAAGCCCCACCCACAGTGGATCTGTGTCTGGGTCCCTGGAGGGGGCGATGCCACCGGTGGCTGGACACCAGGATGCCCTGGCCGGGACATCCCCCTCGAGGCCTCCCTCCTGGAACGGGGGCTCACCTGCGTGTGGACCGGGAGGCCCAGGCCCCGCCTGTCGGAAACAACGAGGGTGACGGTGGTCTTGAGGATGGTGGCGAGGAATGTGTTGACTCCGAAGACCAGGGCACACAGCTCTTTAGAAAGGGAAGATGCGATCTGAAAACTGAACGGGAAGCAGGCTCAGGTCAGACTCGACGGGGCGACGCGAGGTGCCCGCAGCGCACAGAGGACCCGCCGGGGGGCAGCAGCTGCTCCCTGGGCAGCCAGGGGCGCCAGGAACAGCCTGCACGGCCTGCGGACTGACCAGGCCCACTGAGGCCCCGAGAGACCCGGAAGCCCAGCCTGGGGCCCAGCGGCCCACCCCTCCTGGGGCACGCGCTCCAAGCTGCCGCAGCCTCACAAGATGAACAGAGAACCAGGCGCCAACGCAGCCTCGGCAAGACGTTTAAACGTCTCCTGGTGGCCAAGGGGCAGAGAGAGTGAGAATCAACGCAGAATCCGTGAAAATCCCTCTCACGAGGACCGGCAGAGCAGCAGGAGGAATGAGAGTCTCCCATCACTACGTGATTGAATAAATCAGGCACAGGACAGTCGCACAGGAGAGCAGGGGAACCGACACGCTCAGAGTGCCAGTCCTGCAAAGATTAACATTCCAAAGTACTTCCAACCAAAATCCCCAAAGTGTAAGCAACCAGACAAGAAACACTCTCAAGCTCTGAAGAATAAACCAACAGGAACATCCAGACCTTTCACAAGAGTGGCCGAGGGGCTTCCACTGGGCTGGGGTTGGGGGAGCAGGAAACACGGCACACACGGGACGAGCAGTCGTACGGTGAAGGCGGCAGGCCAACCGTGGGAAGGAGCTTGTCACCAAAGTGCAGGGTGACAGACGAGCTCCTGCGACACCAGAGCTGGGCCAGGAGCCACCAGTGAAGCCACGTCCCACCCAAGGGTCTCACTCTCGCCCCACCACTCGGCAATGGGCGTGAAGGAAAAGCCCACGCACGACACGAGACTCCCGGCACATCTGGAGGTCTAAGTGCATGACGTGCAAAAGGAGAAAAACCCAGCAGACAGAGTCCACGTCCATGAATGGGAAGAGCCAGGCCGACCGTCATCAAGGAAGGGCCAGAGGCCGCGGGCTGCCCTCCACCACCCGCAGGGGCTGCATGTGCCCAGTGGGCATCTACAGCATCCACCGACAGCCCCTTTCTAAAGCACATGCTCTGACATGGCCAGGCCCCCTCTCGGACCCATCTGGGGCCACAATCAGAATTTGGAAAGAAAAGTGTAGGTGAGAAGACGCCGCCCTCAGTGCTGTGTGGCACAGGAAAACACTGGACGTGGCATTCCCATCAACTGGGGAGGGGCCGTGTGGCGTGTCACTCGTCACCAGGAGGACCAGCCCCGTCTGTGCCGACCCTGACCCACACAGCTAAGGGAGACGGGCAGGGCTGTGGAGCCCTACGTCAGGCAGACCCCCGACTTTCAGCAGGAGGACAGGGGTCTGAGAAGCAAGTCTGTGCTCCTCCCCGTGCCTCTCTGCATCGTACCTGACATTTCCTGTGATGGACGTTATAACCAGGGTGCCATCCTGATAGGCAGGGAGGGACGGGGAGAAGGGAGGACGGCTTGGCGCCCCCCACCCCACAGCACTGATGGTAACAGAAGCGCAGAGCGCCTGCCCACAGGGAAAGCTCTGGGACCTTTGGGGGCTGAGAAAGGGTGGGGTGGGAGGAAGGACACAGCCTCAGACTGCAAGGAAGGCCAGGCCTGGGCCATGGGCACGGGGAGCAGGAAGGGCATCATCCGCAGAAGTCGACCCCAGCGGGTCAGGCGTGCAGCAGGGCATCTGGCAGCGCTTGGCCCTCGAGTGCGGGAAAGGAAGGACCCGAGCCTGATCAGGTTCTCGGAGCCCGGGAAGGTGTGGCAAAAGTGGATAGGGAGGTGTGGGTGCTGGGTGCTTCTGTGAGGGGGCACGAGTCAGGCCACCACACCGTGGGGTGACAAGAGCAGGCATCAGGAGCCTGGGGCACTGTCGGAGCGCGAGACGAGGAGGGACAGGTGCTCTGACGCAGGCATGACCAGAGGGAGGCGAGGCCTGGGGGCCCAGGGAGGTGAGGCCTAGACGGGAACTAGGGCCAAAGACCCATGCGCTGGGGGCGGGAGACAGGCTCCTGTGTGCGAGTGGGGTGTGAGCGTGTGGGGGAGAGCATGTGGGGGGTGAGTGTGTTGGGGGTGAGTGTGTGGGGGGTAAGCGTGTGGTGGGTGAGTGTGTGCGGGGAGAGCATGTGGGGGGTGAGCGTGTGGGGGGTGAGCGTGTGCGGGGAGAGCATGTGGCGGGTGAGCGTGTGGCGGGTGAGCGTGCGGGGTGTGAGCGTGTGGGGGGTGAGCGTGTGTGGGGTGAGTGTGTGGGGGATGAGCGTGTGTGGTGAACATGTAGTGCTGTGAAAGGCCACAGGAGCACGCTGGGGGTGTTAGGAGCAAGCAGCACACGGGCCAGGGAGGGTCCTGGAAGGCACAGCGGTCTGGCAGGTAGCTCTTGGGACGTCCCTGGGCAGGAGCAGGAGAGTCCCCAGCGGTGTGAGCAATACGAGGGCATGAGGAGAGCCCTGGCGGAGGGCAAGCTGGGACACCTGGGCACTTCTTGGCCGTGAGCCGCAGTTTCCAGCAGGAGAGGAGAAAGGCTCCAGGCCACCCAAGATGGGACCGCAGCAGCGCGTGGGGCCCCGGAAACGGGGGGAGGCTGGGAGAAGGGACTTCACAAGGGCCACCAGGGAGCCCGGTGGGAGGCGCCGCCACAGGGGCCAGCTCCGTGCCGAGTCTCGGGGTCACAGCAGCTGGGACGGGACGTGCTGTGAACAAGGGGACAATTGGGCCCTTGGCTAAAGGTGTCCAGGGGCCACTGCTCCTCCCATGTGTGCAAAAGCACCAGCCCTGCTTCACTGCCCGGCACACACTTCTTCTACTCCCCAGAGAACATTCCAGAAGGGAGGCCTCTTAATATACACCGATGACCCCACAGCCCCACCTGGCAGGAGGACAGTGCATGGCCCTCCAGCTGCCTGCCCACAGCCAGGCCCTGGGCTCTGGCCTCTCAGCAGCTGCCTGGGCCAGCGCCCTCCTGCCTCCACCCCGCCCGGCCCGACTTACGTGGCAATGGGCACCAGGAACTGGTAGGAGCCGCGGAAGAGCACAAAGGCCACGTAGCACAGCCAGATGCTGCGCGTGCTGTACATGAGGAAGATGAGCCCAGCCTGCACTGCTGTCACGCCCGCGATGACCAGCTCCGCCCACAGGGCCCAGCGGATGGTCACGAAGCCCGCAGCAAAGGAGGTGATGGCACCTGGGGAGATAGGACATGTCACGGCCGTCCCTGCAGGGCAGGAAGGGCGGGCGGGGACGGTAGGGCGTACCGAGCAGAGTGGAGGCGGCGTCGACCCCCCCGTTGTAGACCTCGGTAGTGTCGTTGGTGGGGTTGACCACATTCCACAGGATGTGCACGTAGTAGACGATGAGGTAGTAGCCGGCCGAGTTAAAGACCCACCAGAGGGACCAGAGGCGCAGCTGCGGCAGCCGCAGGTTGTCCCGCAGCTCCCAGAGCATGCGCACCAGGGTCAAGCGCCGCAGGGTGTCCAAGAGCATCCAGCCAGCCTTCCTGCCCGCAGGCCGACCGGGGCCCGGGCTCATCCGGTCCAGCTCGGAGGGGGTGGCCCCGCTGCCCACAGGGCTGCTGCGGTTGAAGAACAGGCTGCGCTTGGGGCGCTTCAGGAAGAGCGCGAGGAGCAGGCTGAAGGTGAGGAAGGCCAGCGAGATACAGTTGAGCGTGGAGAAGGAGAGCCTGCCCACGGTGACGAGCAGCTGGCCCAGCACGGAGCTGGTGAAGACGCCCAGCAGCACGGCTGTGCGCGAGTAGCCGGCCATGCGCTGGTAGCGGGCGGGGCGCACGAGCGAGAAGATGTAGGAGGAGTAGGCGATGCGGGCGGCCATGGTGATGCTGTAGAAGAGCTCCATGAGCTGCATGTGCAGCACGGAGCGGCCCCACAGCAGCAGCAGCCACAGGCAGATGTAGCTCAGCGCCTGCAGCAGCAGCACCGGCTTGTAGCGCAGGTAGTCCGTGAGCAGGAAGATGGGCACCAGCACCGCCAGGTAGGAGTACGACAGCACCGGCGTGATCTCGTTGGTGACCTGTAGGACAGCAGGCTGGTGACCCCACGCCCCCCACCAAGACCACGCCGGGAGCGCTGCCCCAGGCCACCACATCCTCTAAAACGTACAGCCCGTCAGGACGGTCCAAGCAGCGGGGAAAACAGGGAGTAACACAGCCCGCGCCAGATCACGCTTCGCCCTCAGCACACCCACCCCACCGGCACGCTTCCTGTGCCAGGCTGTGCTCGGACCTCCACTGCCAACCAGTGTGGCACAGAGAAGACTCGTTTGCCTCCAGAAAGCTGGTGATTACCAGAAAAATAGTCACTATCTACATGTTAGGTCATGCTAATCTGGGTTTTGTTTCGCTCTTTTCGCTGAGGAAGATTCGCCCTCAGCCAACACCCGCACCCATCTTCCTCCACTCCGTATGCGGAAGCCTCCACAGCATGGATGGCGAGTGGAGCAGGTCCACACCCAGGATCCGAACCTGGGAACCCCAGGCCACCGAAACAGAGCTTTAACCACTCGGCGATGGGGCCGGGCCCTCTAGGCTTGTTTTTAATGAAATAAAAACATGATTTGATTTTGCCTTCAATCTACCAAGATGGAAGTCAGGGTGCGACCACTGCACACTCACCCAGCACAGCTGCCCGGGTCCTGGAGGAAAGGCAAACGGGGGCAGGGAGGGAAAGCTCACACGACGGTGACACAGAATAGAGGAGGGGGTGAAATCAAATAAAGGGAACCTCGTCTAAAACGGGGTCGGGAAGCTGAAGGGGCTCCCACACCCGGCACTCCGGAGCCTCGGCTCCCCAGCAGCGGGAAGGGAGAATGTCTCCGGGCCCAGCAACAGCCCAGCCAGAGAGAGGCGGCTACCCGAACCTCCCGCCGGCCCCTCCCAGCCTCCCCTTCCCCACGGAGGAAGCCCCAACTGCAATTCCCGCGCTCTTCCTGAAGAAGCTCATTTTGCTGGTAAAATAACTGGCTCTTCTGTTTTTTACGGTTGACAAATGGAAGAAACGAGAAAGAGGGAGAGTGAGAAGAGAGAATGGAAAGGAGAGGAGACAGGACAGGACTCTCCTCATGCTTTCCGCCGCATAGTGGCCAGTCTGCTCAGTTCCAGGGTACAAGGGACGCTGGAAGGGAGCCCCTGGCTGCCCCGCCCCAGCCCACTCGAGGGAGGAGGAGGACTGGGCCATGGCCCCCTGCATCAGGCGGGACCAGGGGAACGCGTTCTGTGGGAGCCAGGACTCCCACCTTCACCAAGGGAGCCGCCTGTGGCCTCAGCGCATTCTCCTTCCACACAAACGAGGAGCTGAGCACAGCGAGAGTGCTCCCTCCTGGGGACACAGGGCAGAGGGCACCACTGCAGACCACTCAGGGCAAGAGCCAGAAGTTCCCCCTGGCTGCCCAGGGAGGGGCTGCCCTGGGCTCACCTGCGCCACTCCATAGGAGGTGGCCCCAGCCTGGCAGAGGCCCAGGTCTCTGGCCTTGTCCCCTTCCTGGGGGACGGACATGAGAGGCACCTGGGCTTGGAGCATCTCCTGAGGCCTAGGTGGATTTTCAGCCGGTAGCCCCATGCAGGAGCCCTGCCAGACCCCACCTGACAGCAGACCCCACCCAGGGGCCCCAGCCACAGCTCAGATCAGGCAGGGCATGCACCAGGTGAGCCGGGGGCCTTGCTGGGCTCTCAGCAGCTGCAGCCTCCCTTGGTCCCACCAGAGTGAGAGTGCTAACCCTGACTTGGGCCTGACCACCTGCTAACTCAACAGTGCAATCCACGAGCCAGCCCGGGTGCCCCTCAGCCCCACGACGTCAGCAGGCACCAAGGCCCCCTCTGCAGAGTAGCCCGGGTCTGCATGTGGGGCTGCCTCCCGCCCACCACTCACCAGCCACCGGGAGACTGAAGCAGCCAGGCCTCCAACGGGAAGTCCTGCGCCCTGTGGTCTCCTGAACCCACACACCCACTGGGAGCCGAGGCTGACCCCAAAGCCTGTGGTCCCCAAAACACTGAGCACTAGAGGTCCCCCGGGCATTCGGGGATGTTTGTAGCGCACGTCAGTCCCCAGTGGGGAAGCTGAACCACCTGCGCTTGGTCAGGAAGAGCCACGGGGGCCTGGCTACAGGGGTCTGGCCGAGTTTACGGAAAATTCCAGGAACAGTAAACAGCCCCTTGGTTAATGAGATCTCTTGGCAGACAGCTTGCTCAGCTGCGGGGGCCTCCCTGTCAGAGCCGGAAGGGTCAGAGCCTTGGGGAGACCAGCTGGTCTCGTCCTCCCCTCCTCCTCTCCTGCCCCCACCTCCTTCCCTCCTCTCTACTCCTCCTTCCCTCTGTCTCCCTCCTTCTGTCCTCCTCTCCTGACCCCTCCTCCCTCCCCCCTCAAACCAGCCAGCAGAGGAGACTGACTCACATCACAGGCTAAAGGTGCTGGGGGCAGGGGGCGCCCACAAAGTCCCTGGGGCAGGCGGCCCGGCACTGGCACAAGGACGGCCTCCTACTGGCCTGTGCCCAGCATAGCCTGGACATGCTCCCAGCACCTCAGTGGTTGGACAGGCCAAGGCCAGGCTGATGGGCAGAGCGCAGGACTGTGCCCAGACCTGGTTCAAGGCAGCTGCAGGACAGCAGCTTCTCTGAAGGGAGAGGTTCCCCAGGGGCCAGGCTGAGCTGGGGTGTGGGGCCAGGGATGTGGGGTCAGCAGGAGGGACGGGCAGCAGGACGGGGCAAGGGGGCTCTGAGGATCAGTGGATGAGGGGGCAGGGCAGGGCTAGGCCACAGGTGACCCGAAATCCAAGAGGAGGCATCAAGAGCCGACACCTGGAAGCACCTGGATGGGCCCCGAGTCCACCCTGATGAGAGGGCAGGGAGCGTCATGCAGCAGGACAGCCAGCAATCCCACCAGTGATGGGGTGACGGGCCGTGTCAACCCTGGTGAGGGACTGCTGTGACGGGTCCTGGGCGGGCGCTCACCATCGGCAGGGCGGGGGGCTGCGGGACTCAACCCAAAGGTACAAAGCAGGCCTTTGCACCTTCACAGCCCGCTTCCTAAACCAGGGAGGACAGAGGGCGGGAGGCCACACTCAGCGCCACCACGAGGGAGGATCTGGCCAAACTAAATGCACAGCCCCAGCATAAAGGACTCCATGGGCCCAGATGGCAGAGATACGGGACACACAGGCCGTCGGTCATCAGGTCCCGCGAGCGCCATGAACCTCACATGGCACAGAAGGCAGACAGCCCTGCAGAGAGGGAGAGGCTGGTCAGGGCAGAAACCTAGGAAACGCTAACCCAGCAGCAAGATGGCCTTTGCCTCCAACAGATGGGCAGAAACTCAACATGGCCACCCAGGAGTTGGCCAGAGGGACACGGGAAGCCGGCTGCACATGCGGAGCGAGCAGAGGTGGTGCCCAGGACGTGCACTGCATCGGCATTTCCCGCAGTGGTGACAGACTGGAGACCACTGGAGCAGACAGGATGCCTTGTGCTCAAGCCCCCCGGGGCACGACGCAGGGAAGGCCCCCCCAGAACCTACCGGGTAACTCGCCCAAGTCCCGCGGCAGGAGAGGCCGCAGAGGCTGCCGCGGGCACGGCCCAGGGTGCTTTCCAGACCAGGCCTGGAAGGCCCGGCTCCCAGCACCCGCAGGCCGAGCCCCACCGGGCCAGCCTGCCTCTGCCGACCCTCTGCAGGTACCCGAGGGCCTGGTGGAGTGGCATGATTTTGGGAAATTACTACTGGATTCAATCCATTAACATGTGACCCGAGAGGGTGGGCGGATGGGATTTACAACTTTCTTGCTGTATTTTTCTTATTCCTATTTTAAGGAAGCGTCACACATATCCTATTCCTATAAATAATGTCAACAGAGCAGGGGAAAGCCCTCTGGCCATCAGTGAGCAAGGGAGGTGAGGGACCCCTTACTCGGAAGAGGCAGGGAGTCTGGGGGGCACGGAGGCAACCCTGAAGGCCCCAGCCCCAGAGGATGGGCAGAGTCCCCACCCGGGCCTTACCTGGGAAGTGACCCGCTCTAGCGGTCAGCAGTGGCTGTGCGTCGCACACAATCACACAGCCAGGGCTTTGAGCCAGTCATGGGCATCTTCCCAAGATGGCTACTTTGAGGGGACAGACCTCACCGGCACAGTGACGCCACGGACTTAAACAATTTAGGTCTGCAGGGCTAGCCTGGTGGCACAGTGGTTAAGTTCACACGTTCCCCTTCAGCAGCCTGGGGTTCCCCGGTTCGGATCCTAGGTGCAGACCTACACACTGCTTATCAAGCCATGCTATGGTAGGCGTCCCATATATAAAGTAGAGGAAGATGGGCACAGATGTTAGCTCAGGGCCAGTCTTCCTCAGCAAAAAGAGGAGCATTGGCAGCAGATGTTAGCTCACAGCTCATTTTCCTTAAAAGGAAAAAAGAAACTCTAGGGTCTGTGACGGGCAGGGGCCAAGCCCTGGGTCAGACGGAGACGGGTAGGGGCTTCCGGAAGAAATCCAGCAGTGTCGTGGGACCCTGCAGGGCCAGCGATGGCAACAAGGGGTGCAGAGGCCAGGGGCCATGGTGGAGGGGACAGATGGAGGTTGGGAGCAGAGAGCGAGTCAGCCCAGGGGACACGCGGAGGGAGGTGAGCACGGTGGTGACCCAGCTGGGACGGGAGCCTGACCAGGCGCTCCATCAACCAAGGGCCCACGGGCCTCACGTTCTCCTTTTGCTTCGTTCTATGGAGAAGGCAGGCGCTGGGAGGCAGCCGCTGCCACTTCTGCACCGCCTGCGCCCAGGGCCCATGTGGCACAAGCTCGCTCGTCAAGTTTCAGCGAGACCCTGTGTCCTGCCGCCGAGGGACAGGAACATCCCCTGGGTAACCTCCTCGGGCAAACGCTGCCAAGTCTCTGCTGGAAGACGGTGCCCGGTGGGTACACACAGGCTTTCTCACCAGGGCGCCCAGCCTGCGCTGGGGGCACAGGGGGCACCCCCTCCCTCGGAGACCCACAGACACAGACCCCCACGTGGGCTGCCGTCACTCTAACTGGCTGGCTAGTAGATGGGAGTCAGGCCCCTCAGTGCGAAGGGCCCCGGGGGGCAGGACCTGCGACACCACGTGCCACCTAAGTCCTGCACCACCCACACCCACCCGCCTGCCCCACATGCCTGCTGCTGCGTGAAGTTCTTGTCGGGGCCCAGGAGGTAGGGCGTGATGAAGCTCTCCCCAGGCCGCATCTGCGCCATGAAGCCGTAGAAGCAGAGATAGAACACCAGGCACCGCCAGGACTTGAGCTCACGGCCCGGCCCCGGCTCCGGGGGCGCCTGCTTCTCTGCTGCCTGGCCGGAGGGCGCCATGCCGCCCAGGCCCCGCGCAGCCTGGGGGACGGGAGGTGATGCTGCTCCTGCAAGAAGAGTCAAGAGTCAGGACAGCTCAGCCGACAGCCGGGCCCCCCACCCCAAACTCAGCTGAAAGGTGCCTCCCCTTCTCACTCAGATAGGACTGACACCCACCGAGCAGGGAGGGGGCCACCAGCCCGAGACAACCTGGGCACCAGGTCCACGCAGACTAGGCTGCGGCCACCTCCAGGGGCCTCCGGGCTTGCAGTCCCACAAATAGCCACAATGTTAACTAAAACTAAATACAGTCTAAAATCCAGTTTCTGGGGCAGAGCAGACTCATTTCAAGCGCTCACAGCAGGTGGCTGGGGCTGCGGGGCTGGGCACATGTCTCTCCCGGGAGAGGTCTCAGGGACACAGCCTGCTCCGGTGGCTGGTGTCACAGCGCCCGGACGCGTCCACGTGCGGAATCCCAGCTACAGCTACTGCAGTGCAGCCCGGCCCCAAGGTGGCCCCGAGGGTGTGGGCAGGAAGAGGCCCTGCTGGGATGCACGATTCGTCCCGCCAGGAGGCCAGGCACACACCTGGCCACAGCACAGGTGGTCAGTGACGGGAGGCCAGGGGCACGAACTGCAGCCTGGAGCACCGACCCATGGCGGGGACTCCACGCAAGACCGGGGGACGCAGCAGACGGGGTTGGCAGGTAGAGCCGACAGTGAGGCAGGAGCCCTTGAGGGAGTGACAAGGTGACAGGCAGGCAGTGCAGAGGACAGACGGAGGCCCAGACCTGGAGCCTAGGGTCCCTGGTATCCCCGGAGGTTCCCCGAAGTGAAGCGTGGGCGGTAGGTGGGCCTGACTCATTCCAGATGGAGCATCCCAGCCAACAGGCCCTCGAGAAGTGGCTCAGGCGGCCTGCCCAGCCCGTGTGCCTCCCGCAAGGAGAACCTCCCAACATTCCCGGGCCTCCCTCTGGTACAGGGTGAGCAGCCCCTTTCTGACCCTACTAATCAGCCCTCTAACATGGAGAGGCAGATAACCACGTCTATGGATCTCAATGCAGTTTCTCTGCTGCTCATTTTCGTTACTACGTCTCCAGGTGCCACGTGACCTTGGTTTTCCACTGAAGGCACGACAGAAGGTTCCTTTCCAAGCAAGTCAGAAAGCCAGCAGCCAGGAAGAACCATGTCAGGTGCAGACGGGCGCCCACGCTGAGTAGACAGTGAAAATCGGGGAGGGCTCACCGCTCCCCCGGCTTCAGCAGGTGGGGACGCCCTGGACGCAGAGGCAGCTGGGCTGGAAGACGCTGGACAACTCCGTGCCACTGCATGGCTGTTCAGGGAGGGTGTCCATAGCGGGTCTGGATTTGGGGGGAATCCCCTCTAATCCCCAAGCAGTGGGCACAGAAAGTTCCCAAGATGTGGGACCAGTTTTGGGGGTCCAGGGGCCCCAAGGCAAAGCCGCCCAGATTCCTGACACTAGGTCCCCTGCGCTGGGGCCAGCCTGTGGCTCAGGGACCACCCAGCAGGAAGCTTCTTGACTCTTCCCATGACAAGGCCCACGAAAGCCAGGTGACTGCAGAGACCCCCAGGGCTCCGGAAGCAGAGTGAGACCTCACACCAGGGGCCTGGTTATCACCCGCAGCCCTGGGCCTCAGCAGAGGGAACTGTGTGGGACAGCGGGATGGCTTCCACCTTCAAAGCTCCTGTGTTTGTTTCTGTGACTCAGAGAAAAGGGGGGTAATGGCAAACCCCTCGAGAAGCCGGGGCTGGTGTTTCGTTTGGGGGCTACAAGGAAGAGCAGGGCGGGAGTGAGAGGCAGCCGTGAGAATTCCAGAGAGTTTCAAAGGGAGGGGACGATGGGGTGCAACAGTGGCCCCAGGAGTTAAAGGGTTCTGGGACAGCCCCCCAATGTTCTCAAGGGTCCGAATGAATCAATCAGCCAGGGAGGGAGCTGGAACTCGGCCCCCGCCCCGGCCCCCAGGAAAGAGCCCAGCACGGAGCACAAGCCACGCAGCTCCTGCATAAGAGATTCCAGTGCCCGCTTTTCTGACCCCCTGGCAGCTGCAGAAACAGGAGGGGAGGGGCTCCCGGCAGAGCTGCGCACCCAGCTGGAGACCTCACTGCAGCCCCAGGACGCCCTCGGGTCCCTCCCTCCCCTAGCGCACGGCCCCCTGGAGGGAGCAACTGCACTCTCACCAGCGAAGCGCCTGGTGGGGTGAAAGCCAAGAACTAAGCCCAAGGTCCCCAGGAGGGGGACCCCACCCTCTCAACCCCGGGGGCTCAAGAGCTCCCCGTACCTGGCCTTCCTGCTCCGAAGGCGTCACCTCCAGAAGCGACAGGAACTTCCCTTACCTGGTGTCCCCAGATCCCAGGCAACCGTCTTGGACACCAGCGCCAAACACACCGCCTTCCCTTCTACCTCCCAGACCCCTGTGGCTTCTGAAACCGGAGGCGGAGCTTCTTAAAGAAAGTTGAGCTGGGCCCGCCCCACACCGCAGTCTGAAGGTCTGGGGCACAGCCCAGGACTCTGCACCTTAACCCAGAGGCACGCCCAGCAGGGGACGGGCATGGCAGGGGATGGGGGCATGGCAGGGGACAGGCATGTTGCAGTGGGACACCGCCTCGGGGTTCCTGGCTGGTCATGGAAAACAGCTCCTTCTGAACATCCAGGATCCCCAGACAGCACGCACGGCAACCCCACCCCAACCACTGATCAGGTGAGCCCCTGGCCCCCAGAGCCCCCCAGGGCCCAGCCAGGAGGGGCTGCAAGAGGCCTCCAGGGTCACAACGCAGCAGTGGACCAGCCCTACTCCCCACAAGGGTGGACACACAGGGAGCCATCCCAGGTGACGGCAGGGAGCCCCGTATGCCCGAGGAGCTCACAGAGGGGGAGTGTCTGCAGACGCCGGGGAGCAGGGCAGACGGGACAGGGTGTACATCAGGGCTCTCCTGACGCCACCTCTTAGGGTGTGTCCTACGAGCTCACCCCTTCCCTCCCAGCCCCCCCAGGGCTGACCCCATCAAGCGCCTGCCCTCACAGCTGCCCCTCCAGCTCCATCCTGCCATCTGGAGACACTGCCCAGTGCAGCACTCAGCCTGCTGAGCAGCAACAATAGTGAAGTCCTCCAGCGTCTACTGAGTTACACAACAGCCAGAGGGAAGGAGCAGCTGCAGCCTCGGGAGAGAAGCCCAGGCCAGAATTCCTCCAGGGAAGGGGGGTAGGGGGTAGGAGGAGGAGATGGGTGGCCCAGGCCTCGGGCCACTTCTGATCTGTGATCACAGGATGCTAAGGACCCATGGACCCTGCAGCTCACTCGGAGCCCTGGGCTCTGTAACGTGGGCCTGATCTCCCTCTGGGGACCGCCCTCTGCGTCTGCGGCCTGTTAGCTGACGTGGGTCTCCCCTTGGGCACCAGCCTTCCCCACAAACACTGGCTCAGAGAGCCGGCGGGTCCTCGCGGAGTCCCAGCAGGGTCTGTAGGAGCAGCTGCCCTCTCGAACACCAGGAGGAGGGACTGAGCCCCCTCTGCTCAGCACTCAGCGGGCTCTAGGAGCGCTGCCGAGCGCAGACGCCCGCCCAGGACAAAGGCAGCCCCTGTCCTGAGAGCACGTTTACTGCCACGTGGCCGGCCCCTGACCCTGCCCCGTGCCAGGAGGAGGCAGACCCTGCGAGGAAACCCGAGGAGCACAGAGGAGCACAGAAGGTGCAGGAGCACAGAAGGTGCAGGATCCTCGCAGGTTCCCGACCCTCCCCTGATGCAGCCCCTCCTCCAATGGGGGTGGGGCCTGGTCTGTACCTCCCCTCAGGACACCTCCTGGTTCCCGAGATGAGGTGGAGATGAGGTCGTGCTGCAGGGGTCCCAGGGTAGAGCACAGACTGGGGGGGCGGGGGACGACACGCGGCAGTGCTGAGCTTGGTCACCTTTCACGGGCTGAAATGCCACCAAATGGCCTCACAGAAGGAAGGGGCCGGCCTTGAGGAGCTGGCACTGCAGGCAAGACCACCAGCTGGGGCGTGAGGGGTAACACTGACTTGAATTGAAGGGACCACTGGGGAGACGAGGCTCCTGAGGCTCCTGTGTCTCTTTGCTCTGCACTGTCACAAACATGCTTTCAAAAACTCCTGAGACAGGTTGAGGGGCTGTCACCTGCAGCCCCTCCTCTGGGCTGGACGAGGAGGTCACTGCGAAGTGAGCCAGGCAGGACAGGGCCAGGGGAGGAGCTCGGCCCACCCCAGGAGCAGCAGCTGCCATACAGGCACAGGGGCCAAGAATCCACGGTCTTATCTGAAAGCCATTTTTAACACTGGCCACCACGGAAAAAACATTGAGCCGCACGACCCACACACATTTACGATTCCTCCCCAGGGCTCAGTGGGGGCCTCGGGCCCTGCTCCTCAGCGTTTGGGGAGGAAAGGCCATCTGTGCTGGGGACTGAGGGCCAAAGGGAGCACAGACGCAGAAGACAGCAAGACTAGGGCCTTGCCCGTGTTCTCAGGGGGGTGCGTCTGCCTCAAGTCTCATTTTGTCAGTATACTAAACTCACAAGGGGTGGGCACAACCACCGACACTGACAGGTGCCAGTAGTCAGCTGCATGGCTAAGGCTCAAAGCCCTCCGCCCAGAAAGTGCAGACTGCTCTTCCAAACCCGCAGGCGGGCCCAGCCCCATGCTCCAGGAAGCCGAGGCAGAGGGACCTTGTCACCGGCTCAGAGCCACAGAAAGGAGCCCAGAGGCAACAAATGTGCCCAAGCTCAGGGCAAGCGGGCAGCAGGACTAGCCTGGACCCCCAGTGCCTGGCCCCAGCCCAGCCCCAGGCAACTTCAGGGCAACCCAAAGAAGTACCTCCAGCCAGAAGGGTCATGGGGGAGGGTCATGGGGGAGGACCAGGGACCTACACCTCTGCCTTCAGGAGAAGTCTCAACAGTTCCCACACCGACCTGACCCTGACCACACCCCAGCACCTGCGGGGGTGGGGGGGGGGGGCACTAGCTACTCCCCCAGCTCTGTCCTCCCAGCACCTAGGAGGGACGGGGTCCCAAGAGCAGAACAAAGGCAAACATCAGCTCTCTCGTTCTGTTTTAAACCAGCCGCTACTGCCACAGGTTAACCAGGGAGGTTCATTACATTTTCAAACACCTGTTAGTAAAAGTAAGAATCCTTACATGCTTTCCCGAGGTCAGATGACAGACTTCCCTGTTCCAAACAATAAAATGAAATCCTCCGGCCACCACTGCTGTAGATACCAAACCCACGAGTTTAAGAGGCCCTGGAGGCATTGGTCATCTCTGTCCAGCACGGACAAGGACAGCAAAGACCCTCCCAAGGACAGCAATGAGCGGTGCACACGCAAGAGAATGCAAAGGCCCAGCGATACTGTCCAGCCGAGGCAGCAGGGTGCAAGCCATCGGGGAACCCTGGGCCGGGCGCGGGGCTCCCACACCTGCAGAGGGGCAGCTCTGCTGGGCCAGAGGGTCCTGGGTCTGCGGATTCAATCAGGGCTGCAGGGGGCTCTCCAGTCTCCCTCAGGGAGGGCGCGCCTGGTCACTCCTCCGCAAGGCGCCCAGCAGGCAGCTTCAGGTACTTTAGGAACGCGCCTGCACTGTGGGCGGCCCGGAAAACAGCTTGTTCTGCATGCATTCCAGACTTCCGAGCGGGCTCAGACTCTGATTCGTATCCTGAGACCGAGCAGGCTGGGGCGGAGACCCCGAGAGGGCGAGGAATCCAGGACACACGGGTGCGCCTGGGCCACTCCCCCGGACCCTCTAGGGCAAGCGTTCAGACCCGGAGTAAACAGGAACCCGGGCACAGTTTCCCCTCGCGGAGGCGCTTGAAAGACCCTCAGGAAAGGACGGACTGCGGGCAACCGGCTGAGGCTGCGGGACGACCTCGCGCGCTCCGCGCCGGCCGCGCCGAGGGCTGCCCGGAGGGGCGTCGTTCAGCGGGAACAGACGAGCAGCCGCCCGGCCGAGACCCCGGGCGCGCTAGGGGCCCTTCGGACACGTGCGTTCCCCGGGGCCGCCCGCCGCCGGTTCCCGCCGCAGTAGCACGTGCGCGGGGCCGCCCCACGCGGCTCCGAGCGCCCGGGGGAGGGGCCCGCGGGATGCGCGGCCGCCAGCGCGGGGGGCAAACTCGGCGGCGGGGCCCGGCGGGCAGAGCGGGGACGGGGCCGCACGCTGACCCTCGACCGCGCTCGAGACCCCGGCTCCCGCGCCGCGCGGCCAGGGGCCCGCATCCACCTGCACCCGCCCCTAACGCGCCGCGCCGCCGCAGTACCTGGGCGGGAGCCGCTCCTCCTCCTCCTCCCGCGGGGCCCCGACTGACCTCCCGCCCGCGCGCCCGGACCACAACGCCCAGAGTGCCCCGCGGCCGCTTCCGGGAGGCGGGCGCTTCCGGGACACGCCCTCGGCCCGCGTGCCCGGGCCGTCACCTGGACGCCCCGCCCCATCCCCGGCCGGTCACCGCCCCCTGACACGCGGTGTGGCGCGGGCCCCAACCACCCCTCCTGGAGCCCCGCCGGACCCTCCGTGCCCTCCTGCAGCAGCCCCCACTGGCCACACCGCTACGTCCCCGCTTCCTTCTCCAGGATCCCCCGCTGGAACCCCCGCGCCCTGCCGAAGCCCCCACTGGCCACCTGGCTACGTCCTCCCCTTCCTCCTCCCGGATACCCCACTGGACCCCCGTCCCCTTCCCGCAGCCCCCACTGGCCACCGCTCTGCGTCTCCCCCTACCTTCCCCCCGATCCCCCGCCTACCTCCGTCCCCTCCCGCAGCAGCCCCCACTGGCCACCTGCTGCATACCCTTACCCCCATTCCTCCTCCTAGAGCCCCCGCTGGTACCGCGGGGGGAGGGGGAAGACCACCCCCCCACCACCGCCCACCCCACCTCCCACCCCCCCACCGCAGTCCCACTGATCCCCCTCCGGCCCCCTTCAGGGCCCCCTTGCCTACCCCGGAGGCGCCCGGCCCTGGTCACAGCCCCTTGGCAGTCCTGCTGTCCGGATCGACCTGGAGGGAGGACTCCCACCCCCACCCAGCTGCGACCGCCCCTTGGACCAGTGCCGGCCCCTGACCCCGGCCTCCCTCCCCCGGCCGTCCTGAGCAAGAAGTTCAAGTGCTTTTCTTCTACGCTCATTTAAAACGTCCCTTTCCTGGCAAACCCACAAGCACAAGCCTGGGACGTGGTCACTGCGCCAGGACAGGACTGCAGGGGTTAGTGGAGTCCCCTCCCCCAGCACAGCAGCGGCCTGGGTGGTTCGCCCTGACCCACATTTGGTCTGGTGGCTGCCTGGGGTCTCCAGCAGGGCCCAGACACAGATGCCTGCTCTCGGGGTAGCAGATAGCAAGCCCCCAACCTGGCATGCGCCCAGTGCCCAGGCCCCCATGGTACCCTGGGATCTCCTAGTCCTCCCTCAGGACTGACCAGGAGCCAGCCAGGCTGTGTGCAGAGGAGCAGGAAGCTGGGGGGCGGTGGGGGGAGGGGGCCACTTGGCCCAGGGCCCCCCATGCCCAGGCTACCAGCAAGGAGAGCCAACTGGGAGAGAAGCAGTCACAGGTCCCAGACTGCACAACCCAGCAGGTTGTGGGCCACTGCAGGACAGTGTGGGAAGGGGGTCACTGGCCACCAGCCATTCTCCCAAAGAGGCCTGCAGTTCCCATGCAGCACACGGGAGGGTCCCCTGTGGTCATGCTACCCTGGCCACACTTTTGGGGCAGGACCTAGGCCTCGCCCATCAGGAAGGAGGCAAAGCAGGTGGGGGGAGGGGCACAAAGAAAGGAACAGGGGGTCTGGCTGGAGAGCAGAAGGAAAGGCATGCCCTGGGGATGTGGTGGCTGCCCTGTGGGACTCCCGCCCAGGAAGGGAACAGGGAGTCCCAGTTGTGGGCACCTGCAGTTCCCCTGCTGATGCCTCTCCCCACTCTCCACCGCAGACCCCCCCCTTGGACTTGGCCTGTCCGTGGTGCAGTGAGGCCCACGACACATGAGGGGCACTGGCCTCCAGTCACTGGGCAACAAGCTAAGCCCTCGGGGCTGGTCCGGGCATGGTCAGGGAGGTTGGGGGCTGCGTGGGCTGTGCCCCTCAGGCTGGAGCAGTGGGAGGCAGCCCACATGGCAGCTGGAGGAACCACAGGGAGCCCCTCAGATGCCCCCACTGCTCTCCCCTACCCTCTGCTGGGAAAGGAGGAGCGCCGGGATCCCGGCCTCACAGCCTCAGAAGCCTCACTACACCCGCGCCCTGCCCAAAACACAGGCACGAAGGCCTGGGCCACTGGGCGCCCAGCACCAGTGAGCCGCTCCCGGCTGTGGTCTGGCCAGGGAACTGGGGCCTGGGTCTTCTAACCGAAGGACGGTGGGAGCGTCTGCTCGACAGCCCCACCAAGGCTGTATGAGGGCCGCGGGGTCTCCTGGAGTGTGGGGTGCCTGTCCAGGCTCCCACCTGCCCCCACCCCTGCCCAGGGCCCTGCGTGGGATTGGCCATCTGCTGCTCCAGCCTTGCACCTGTTCTGGGGCCTTCCAGAAGGGTTGGCTCCTACGTGGCGCCTGGGGTGGCTCCCAGGATGTCAGGGAGAGCTGAGGAGGGAGCAGGCACCCTGGCAGGACCCCTCCCGCCCCCCGCTGGGAACAGGCTGGACCACAGTGCGGCCCCTTGGTGAGCAGGATGGACGGCAGTGGGGACTCTGGCAGCACAGGTCAGTGACCCCCACGATGCTTGGTGAGAAGGACCCTGCCCATGGAGCAGGGTGGTCGGTCAACGACCTGGCCTGGGTGCAGGAAGGGGTGGGCACTCCCAGCAAGCATGGATGTGCAGAGAGCAGCAGCCCCAGGAGGTTCCTGCAGCGAGGGCCAGGTGCTTCCTAGCCTAGCCCTCACCTGGTGCTCCGTCTCTGCAGCATGGAGCCAGAGTAACATGCTGGCTGGCCGGAGCCTCGCTCCAGTCCCCAGCTGACTTCAGCTGCTGTGCTGGGCGGAGCTTCTGGAAGTTTCCCCGGCCCAGGGTTCCTGCCAGAGCTGGGCCCCAGGGGCTGCAGGTGGAGGGGCCACACTCACCGCTGCCCCCCGAGACAAGCTAGCCAAGGCTGCAGTGTCTGGTGGGGCCGTGGTGACTGACAGCGCCCTATGGGAGTCGTCATTTAGGTGCAGCTCTCCGGGGAAGAGCAGGTGGCCCTGAGCCAAAGGGCTGCCAGAATCCTTGGTGTGCCGCCCGCTGTCGAGGGGCAGCCGCAGGTGGCAGGTCTGTGCTTCCAGAGGCTCTGCAGTGCAGCTGGTTAGAAAGTGTGACTGCCAAACATGGAGACTTACAAAAACAGGTGGTTTGGGGTGAGCAGTCATTTTTGGGAATGGATCTTGTGCTTTAGTTGTCATAAGCTTCAGGTGGTTGTTGTGTACTTAATAATAAATTCATCAGACACTGAAGGACGGGCTGTATGCAGGCAGGGCTGACTGCTGTGGGGGTGGTGGAGGGAGCGGGAGCCGGTCACTGAGTGGACCACGATCCAGAGGGTCAGGATGGGCCCAGGGGCGCTGACCACAGCCTCACCGCCTGTGGGCTGCAGTCACATTGACTCACAGGGATGCCCAGGGTCTGCAGGCCCACGGAGACCCCTTCCCCTCCCGAAGGGGCTCAGGTGGGCTCTGCACCCGTGCTGAGTGGCAGCCACAGCCAACCCTGGCCCACCCAGCCCTGCTTCCCCCCTAAAGCAGGGCCCCAGCCGGTCAGTTTGTGACTGCCGCCATACTACTACCTCCTGGGACCACCCCCCACAGTGTCCTTTATCCCTCCAATGCCCCCTTCCTTCCCCACCACCGCATAGAACTCACAACCCACCATCCAGGTCAAGACAGCCCGTGGCCTGCCCAGCGCTGTCCCAGGCCAGCCCCCAGCGTCTGTCTCTCTGGCTCACCTCCTCCCAGCAGGTCTTCAAGGGAGGCTCGTCCTTGGGGTCAGCGGGCAGTTTGGAAACAGAAGGGTCCCACAGGCAAGCTGCGGTCACCCAAGGGTGCAGCTTCCACACGTCCCGAGCCTCAGCCACCCCTCACAGCCTGAAATGAGGCTTTGCTGACCAAGGACGGTGGACGAAGGTGGCGAGGCCCAACGTCTTGGGAGACATAACCCACATGCCGGTTAGAACATAGCTGTCCCTGCTCCCCCAGCCGCACAGAGGCTTCAGGGTCCTGGCCGGTCACCCACGTCCCACTCTCTCTCGGGGGCTTCTCCCAGGCTCCAGGGTGGCAGGAGGTGGACTCGTCCTCTGATTGCAGGCTCCTGCCCAGGCCCTCAGGCTCTGCTGGGACACACGGGCCTCTGACCCAGGGAGATGCCCCCCCCTCCAAAAGGAGGGCCCGAGGGACGGGGTTTGGGGGTGGTCTTGGAGAGCTCTGTTTGGGAGAGAAGTGAGAAGGAACGTGATTATCTTGCAAAGCTGGGGAGCAGACTCCTTGTTCGCAAAATGCCCAACAGGGAGAGGAGCCAACCTGACCGCCGCTGACCTCCATTCACCTCTGCCGAATGAGACAGAAATGAGCATCAGGGTGGAGGGAGTGGAGAGAAGGAGGAGGGAGGGAGACAGAGACAGAAGGGTGGAGGGGCCGGACAAGAGGCTGGTGCTCAGCACTGGAGAGAGGGACACACAGTCATGAACCTGCCTAGCATACCGTGGCTGTCTCAGTGGTCAGGATCCCTTGGTGAGCTGGTGGCCTCTGGCCTGGAAGGTGGGTGGGATGGACCCTGCCTTCCCCACCACCTCGGCTGCAAGTGATGGTGTCACTATGGAAGCAGGGCTGAGACCAAAGGCCGACACACACGTGCACACACATGCACACAAGCCCACATGTGCAGAAGGCACACATGCACACAGCCACACAGACAGGTGCACACACATGAGTGCCGTAAGCACCCCAACAAGCACCTTCCAGGAAAGATCCCCACAAGGGCACCCAGGGTCCCGCCTCCCACAGGGTCAGGCCAGGGATAGCGTCCTCCACGGAGAGGGGCCCAGGACCTGGCTCCCGCCCTGGAGGTGGTCCC